AGTTTTCTATTGAAATAATAACGTTGATAGTTTATTAATGAAAATTAATCAATTTATTAAAATCAATTCAACAAGTTTATTAATTAAAACTTCATGGATATCGACCTAAAATGGTGTTAAGAACCTACTTATGAAAATCAGCCATCCAAATTTGGTTCATACATGTTATTTTTATTTGCTAACGAGAGATAATCTACATACCTACTATAGTGTTATGTAAAATAAAATTTATTGAACCAAATTAAAATCACCATCAACATTCATTTCTTTGCTTATTTCTTCTCATAACTTGTCTTGCACAATTCGATTGCTATGGTCCTTGTCTCCAAAATCATAAATGGATGGTCTCATTTCCACTAACTTACTAGTATTTCGCCATCACAAGCCATTATGTGATAAGTATATAAAATATTATTAAAAATATACAAAATACAAAATACACATGAAAATATATTCTTTCTTGTCTAGCTGTGACGAACGAAAATGTGGACACTCAGACAGTATCAGTTCATGACTAATTGGTGATTTAAAGCAAAAACGTTTTGTTTTGACCATGTCTTATTAATGTGCGTATGCAATGTAATTCCTATGATCTATTTTAACAAACTGTGTTAGACTGACTAACACTGTCTAACGCAGTTTTGCTCTTTTGGTGTGCGGCCGGCCTAAGGAAAAGGCGGAATGGACCCAAGATCTACTGAGAAAAGGACACACAGAAAAAACTATTGGTTGTAACATATAGTTACTTAATTAAACTATAGTTTGAAAATTAGGTATGATATTATTAAAGTATTATTAGGAACCATGTTTAATGATATGACTATATTAAAGAAATTATAAAAAAAATATATTAGAATACATATTTATTTATCAATAACTATTATGAAAGTATTTTAAAGGTTACCTTGAACAGTTATAGTATTGTCTTTACTTGATGAATATTTATGTTTGATGCCATGCGGCGACTGCTCTGGTTACACATCGAGCGCACGACTATTTAATGATTTAATTTGAAGAGCTTTTATATATATATTTTCATTTTAATAAACAATACACATCCAATTTTATTTGATTTACCATCTAGTATTTTATATTTTAACAAACATTTTGTGTTCACACTATCGCAACTTATAGATATATCTGACGATATCGCGAATATAGCTAATGGTCGCAGTATTTCGGACTGACCGGGAGTGTCATTACAAATCGGCACAGCCCGATGTGCTAATCGCATTTTTAATAATAAACTCCGATACGACTTGATCTAATCAAGTCAAGCAGAACAATTTATAAAAATGGTTAAATGATAATATACTGACCATATAAACTAAACAAATGCTCATTAAATAGTAAATACTATGGTGTTCAAGTGTAAACATAAATCATAGTAGGTGGCATACTAGGATTATCCTCATCGTTACAAATAAAAATAAATTTATTGAACCAAATTTGGTAATGATTTTCATGAATAGGTTAACACCATTTTAGGTCGATATCCATGGATATTTAATTAATGAACTTGTTTAATTGATTTAATAAATTGATTACTCTATTAATACGATCTATCAACGTTATTAACTTTCAGAAGAAGAGCAAATTAACAATTTCATCATCTAGTGATCATTTATTACATTAAGCTGTAATCTGATACGATCATGTGAATAACAAGAGTTTTGCAACATTATTAACGATTACTACCTTTGAAGTGTTTGGCAGCTATTTTACTATTGTATTGACTGCGATGCCCGTTATCAAACCTCTATAGATCATAATAAAATTACAGCACCAAATTCCTCCATCGTGGAATGATATCCGTAATAAATAATGAAATTTAGTTTTAAATGAGATTACTATACTCTATATAGCACATTATGCCTGCTACGCGTTTATTCGTAATATCATGCCAAACACAAGATTCTGAAACTCCCATCATTACCTGTCATCCCTCCAATACACCTATAGGTATTGTACTGTTTCTGCTTATACCCTCCCAAAGATTCATCAAGCACGTACCGAACGAAGTACAACAGGTATAATATTTCATACATTTGTATTCAGAACTAAAATATGCAAAATTGTTATCAATATTATTATAAGCATTATTTATCAGAGTTTTTTATACTTCTCTTAATACCATTAATACCTTTCACCACGCTTTGAATAACATTTTGGGGAACAGAGTTAGAATTATTAATTTAAGGTATAAATTAGAAACTAAAGTACAATTATTTACAACCATTGATGTATTATTAATTAAAGATGAAGTACCACCATGAGATTCACTCATATGAGTAGATATGTGTTTTTTTTTTTTTAAAGAATTAAGTGAATGAAAAGAATGATTACAATTATTTTCAACACACACCGTAATAAAAACTAAAAAGTAATATTATTCACTTCTATTTATTATAATATATATTAAAATAATTATTGGTAATAAATTATTATAACAATTGAATTAATTATACGCTGACCAAAGCTATCTTTGGATTGTTCCAAAGAAAATCTTATGAATGCAATATAAAATTAAAAACGACATACCAGCCTAAATCACAGTTGTTGTAACTTCAAAAACTAAATTTATTCTTCTGTGAAATTGGCTGTTAAAATAATTTCAATTTCAACTTTTTAATAAAAAATGGAAATTAATTGTCTTAACTCTATTATTAGTGAATTATGATTATTAAATAATGGTAGTTGACATACTACATTAATTTTACTATGATTGTTATATCTAAGACCCTGAACTTAATGACGTAAATATCTTAAAAAAATTCGCACAAAAAAGTATTAAAATGACTTTAAAAACTACCCAATAAATAACATAACATTTTCAAAAATTACATTTTTTAATAATAAATGTAAATAAAAAAATCATTGTTTTTAAATAAATATTTTAATTCATTAACTATGTTTTTTTTTACAGACTGCAGAATCTAAATTAAATTTAAAACAGAGACAAGAAATAATGTCATTAATACAAAATTGAAAATAATTACAAAAAAAGAAATCGGTATTTTTAGAAAAATAATTGAAGGATTGGAATGTACAATACATTATTTTTTTCAAAATAATTTAAAAGAAAAATGTAAAAAATACAAAAAAAAAGCTATATAAAAATGATTTTATTGAATTTTTTATAATATAAGTCACTTCTCTGTAGACAAGTCTCAAATAAACGCATTAGAAAAAAAGATGCAAATGTGTCAAATTTCGTGCCCTAGTTATATCATAATTATTTTAATAGTAAAAATAAAAAATATTTATAATTTTTTTTGAAAAGTTAGTCATATTATAGAGTTATGACAATTGTAAATTAAGCTCATAAGAAATATTAATGATATATTATTTGTCACTTAAAAAGTAATTACAATTATTACTAATTATGTCCACACTAATTTGGACAAAAACCAAATAAATGTCAAGTATTTAATTACTAAATAAATTAATGTCAAATAAATAATAATATATTTTGCAAAATATACATACAAAATCTAATATTTAGTTAATAATAATATTATTTAATATTTATTTGCAATAGAATAAACAAATACATTTTTAAATTTTGGCTTTCTTAAGTTGTGGTTCACATAGAGAATCACATGGTTCATGAGGGTTCTTCTGTGGTTGTTGTACACTAGCTGTATTTGTATTTATAGATGGTACACTGAAGTTTAATATTTCAGGTTTGACAAGTTTCAAAACAATTCTTTCATGTTGGACATTGCTGCTATCAAGGCTTAATTGAACACTTACTGGATCAAAAGTTCGAAAAACTATATTTCCACACCTCTGTGTTTGCTCCTAATTTAAAACAGTAATTATATTTTATAAGATAAATGTAAATTATCTTAATATTTAGTATTTTGCTTTAAAAAGAAAAAAAAAATTAACTTACATCTTCATTATATATAAATGTAACAGCTTGCGATTGCCCTTTACGGGCTGACAAGAAAAGAGTTCCTTCTAATCCATATTTTGGTATAAGTATTTGTAAAGCATTTTTTCTAACATACAAAATATAACCTTCTTCATCTCTAATTTTTCCGCGGAAAAATATCTAATAAAAATAGATGGATTAAATTATTTATTATTCAATTTTATACATTAATACAAAATAATTGATTTACGTGTGTATTTAAAGCAACTGATGCACGTTCAGCATAAGCAGACATACGGGTTCTGGTATTTAAAGTTTGGCACAGTCCTTCAATTTTACGTTTGTCAAGCATTTCAGGTGTAGTACTATCTGCTGCAATAGATACAGCTAAAAGTCTATGAACAAGTACATCAGCGTACCTGAAAATTAAAACTATTAGTATTAGTACTCCATCAATTATTTTTTATAAATAATATAAGATTGCAAATCAGTATAAAATATGATTATGTATATAAAGCAAGCCGGATTCTCACGACTAGTGTACTAAGCCAATATTTTTTACTATACTCTGTTCCAAAAAAGAACCAGTTCTGCGCACTTTTTTCGTCTTACACCAATCATTACCAGTGCAATTATATGGAAGATGCATGCCCCCCGGATGGAAACCAGTCACACCTGGTGTATTCTCTTTTGGAACAAAAATAGTAATTATTTTCTATGGTATGGGAATAAGACACTTACATAATTATTGGTTACTAGTGTGCTTATCAACAATTGTTAGTTAATGTCGTATATAAAATGAAAAACTAATAAACTAATAAATATACCAGATGCTAGAGCACTTTACAGCTTATACACAAATTACTTGCCTATTTGGTTATTGGAATACTTGGTGGTGGATGGACCAGTAATAGAAAAACGGTTTCACTTTAAAATTACTAGTCATAAAATATACCTAGTTACTAGTTAGTTAAGTATTTGATTACACCTAATTTAAAAAAAAATATATTTTTTATAATGCACTGACCTTCTAATAGGAGATGTAAAGTGCGTATAAATAGGAGCTGCCAATCCATAATGCAAAAATTCATCATAGGTTTTTGTGCCACTAGCAAAATAAACAGCTTGTAACATACACCGAGTGGCCATAATACGGAGCATTGTATTAAAAAAAGGATTATCTAGTTTAACTGCTTTATCTAAAGAATTTGCTAAGTCTCTGCTAGAGTCCACATTTAATTCCACTCCCTACAACAAATATAAACAAAAATGTAAAGTTAAAATTATTTATAAGGATTAAAAAATGATTATACCAGATGTGCTGCCGCTTTAATGAGAGACTCAAAGTTTGATGGCGGTGGCTTAGGATGACGTCTTAAAACAGCAAATTCTGGGAAATCTGAGTAAATCTTTTTGGCAACTTCTACATTAGCTAACAACATAAATTCTTCTACCATTGAATTAGTTTCTTTTAACTGTTTTACTTCTACGTCTAATGGATCTCTTGTTTCACTATCTACAAGGAAACGAATTTCAGGTGAAGCCAAAACCAATGCTCTGTAAATATATTATAATTTAGACATAATGTAATAAAAAATATGTTAACAGTCATTTGAAATATAAATTAAATATAATACCCAGCTTCTAGGCGTCGTTTTTTAAGAATCTTTGCAAACTTTTTAAGTTGTCTCAATCCTAGTGCAATAGAATTATCTTGGTTCTGATCATCAATTATTAACTGTGCTTGATCGTAAGTCATAGCTGCTTTTGACTTAATAACACTTTTTGTATAACTACTATTAACAATTTCTGCATTTGGAGTCATCTCCCAAACACAAGAAAATGCCAAACGTTCTTCTCCTCCACGTAAAGAACATAAGTTTGAACTCAATAAACCTAAAATTTATTATGTGTTATAGATATTAGTTAGTCATTGTTAGCAGTATAAGATAAATATAATAAGCAAAAAATGTAATTAACATTTTAATAAATAACTAGAATTGTGCATACACAGTATACAGTACACACACACAATAAAATACAAATAAATATTTTTAGTTCATCTGTTTTTTTAATTATTGATTGTCTTATAAAAAATATTACCTGGTACCATATCAATACGCCTTCCAGTTAGATATACAGTAGTTGCACGTTGGCTAGCTTCAATGTCTATGGCTGTACCAGGTTTAACAAAATGAGTTACATCAGCAATATGCACACCAACTTGGAAATTTCCATTGCCCAGAGGCATGCAATGTAATGCATCATCAATATCTGTACAACCTGGAGGGTCAACCGAACAAATATCCAGATCACGAAAGTCTTTTCTACCCACTAAATCCTATAAAAATAAGAAAATAAAAAAATAGAAAAGTATATTAATATAATACTATCATTAATAATTATAAAAATTATTAACACTAGAGTTAAGTGAGCTACTTTAACTTAACTTTGAGATAAATTAAAAATCATTCCACTTAAATAGACTTTCAAACAAAGCTCAGTTTACCCAAAAATTAAGATTTAAATCAAGCGTGTGTTGTTATAATAATTCATTAATGTATAGAAGTGACTACACAATAGTCATGATAAAATTTAAATAACTGTTTATACACATGTCTATCAATATAGTAAATACTAAATAGTGTTGAAAGTTTTCTCTTTGAAAGTTAAACCGTCTTAGTTTTAATTATGATTATTGATTAGCCAAATAATAAAATAAAAATAGGTTTTAATGTTATTGTAAATTCTATAATTTTTACATGAATACATAATTTAAAATTTAAAATCAGAGTTTGCTTTTAATATACAGATTTTATGTAATATTTTTAGGGTACACATATTGTATAATATCTATAAACAAATTTTTGGTGCCATATGCTATCTACAAGTAATTATGTTATATATCATAGTCTGTATTGACGGCATCAATGATTAGGTAGGTATATAGGTATAGGCTTATCCACAGATGCTCAAGTACAGACTATTAAATGCTTATGGAAACATATTAAAGTGAAGTACCTATGAAATCAGAGCTCATGGAATGACCAATCTTATTGAAAGACAATTGCAAGAATGGTGGAGATCAATCAATCAAAAAAATGTTTTTGAATGTCTTTTACAAGATATAAAAATCATTTTTTTAAAAAATTAAAGAAATATGAACAACTATTAACAAACAGGCTATTTAAAATGGAACAACTGTTAATCAACAAGCCATTGAGCGGGTTAGTAAACGCAAGTTTGTAGATTTGTATAAATGATTTTTTTGGTAGATAGCATACTACATGTGTGCCATTTTTTAGAAAATGTAACACATTTTGGAGTCATTAATTTAATGGGCATGGTTAGGTTACCTAATCTAATTAATTTTAAATATGTAACATAGATATATTTCATGCTAGAGATTGTGTCTATGGGAATAATAACATTTTTTTCATTTATATCAATAATACATAATTTTTTTTATTTGCTCAGTTAAAATATCAAAAGAACTACTGTTATTAGTAGTTATGGCTGAAGAAAAACCACATGAATTCAAATATGAAAATAAAAAAAACAATGATTCAATAGATATTATCAATAAGTTAACTAAATTAGTTTATTATTTGAATACCAATGAAGATTGTCAAATGTTATTGAAACCATCAACAACAGAGTAACTTACACAAGCAATATAAATATTTAATTTTTTTAAATTTAATTTAACACTAAATAATATTATTTAGTTTGGAAAATGAGATAAGATTTGACCGGAGGGCAGATCAAGTATTAAAACATCATCGCTGTCACGACAAAATTATAATTGAAGAAAACATTATGAATGAAATACAACAAAGTATTAACACCATAAATAATGATTTAGACAAAAAACCTAACAAAGAAGGTAAGTCAAAATCATAAAAACATGGTAACTATGCATTTTTACTCATTTAAAAATATATTTCAGAGTTAGATTCAAAAAATATTGTTGAGATTTATGATAGTTTAATGACTCTTAAAATGTTGAATTTAAAACATTCAAAAAATACAAAATCTCTAAAAGACTTTATAAAGTTAAATAAGGTAAAAATTTACAATTCAAAATCAAATCAATGATTTGCTGAACATTTTATTTTTTTTTCAGACTAATTTAGAAGATGTCACAAAAATAGAAAATGAATTAAAAGTAGTCTTAGATAAAATATCTAAAGAAAAAATATCCAAGAAATCAGAAATTAAGGTACCACATACAGTAAGAAATCGTATACCATCAATATTATGTATTTCAAATAGATCTAGAAGAAACAATCATAAAACTAACATTCGAGTACAACCAAAAATAAACATTGAACGTATAAGACAGCCAGAAAGTTTAACTAATGAGAATATAATTTTTGACTCACAAAACAATGAAGTAATAAGGATGAGATTTGAAAATGATCATACATACATAGTGGAAAACTTAAATAATCGACCAAATATTGATCAAAATACAAGGTATGAATCACTTATAATTTAATTATAATATTATAATTTATAATAATTATAATATATGAAACAATTAAAAGTGCATTTTACTACATTGTAAAATAATTAATGTGTTTATAGACATAGGTATAATGAAGGATCAATGAGCGATGATTTAATGACAAGTAGTATGGAAGAAGATTTACAACTTATCGAATCTCCTAACTTTAACAGCTCAGTGAATCTATGTAAAGATAATGAAGATAATAATAGTGGAGATATACACCTACTACTCCAACCATATAATAATTGAATGGATTCTTAATAATATTAATATCACTATATAAAATAAATAAAAATTACACCTAATACTACTTATTATTAATTAATTAATTTTTAATAACGTTTATTTAAACATAATAAATCTAGTATTTATTATTGAAACTGTGTATGATACAATTTTTATCAAAAGAGTAATTAATATCAAAATAGCCATAGATACATACTGCAGCACTAATAGTCCATGTTTCCTTTGGTAAGCACCCCAAAACTTCATCTGAAAATTTACTGTGTGGGACATCATGTTCTAATAATATAACTTCATTTTCAGCTTCTCTTTCGCCAATTTTTCCAAGTGACCTAACAAAATGGCCCTGTAAACATAATTTATATAATTTTATATTCTCACGCGAAGTAGTAGTAAACATAAATAGTTTATACAAACCAATGGATATCTTGATGTCCTTGGCCATGTGTCAATGGCAACAATAACACGTTGATCTTTTAATTTGTCATACTGTCTAGTTTCTATCCTTATTTTTGGAATTTTTTTATCTGCTGGTACAAATAAATGTCTAGTTGCCTAATAAAAAGTAATCAAACATTAATTTTTAAGCAATTATCGGTGATTATTTGTATAATTACATATAAGTATAATATGTACTTACATTTTCAACAAGACTTTGTTGAATAATTCCACAATACTGTCTCCATTTTTTTCGTATTATTCCAACTACTTGACCTGTTGGGTACTTTTCTTTTGGCTTTTCAACAGTATTTAAATCACTTTCCAAGTCCAAGTCATCTAATAAGTTTACAAAATATTCAATGTGATGTCTACAAATTTACTAAATTAATTCTTTTACCATAATCTGCTAAAACTAAATTAGCAGGTGCGCTCCATTGACTTTCTGGAAACATTTGAATGGCAACAATATCACCATTAATAGCCCGATTTAAATTTTCTCTACCTTGCAACAATATATAAAATACAATATTAAAACAATAAATGAAAATCATTGTTTTCATGCAATACAAACTTACATTTTTTTCTTGTCCTTCCACAAAAACATTTCCTTCGAGGAAGTTATCAACAGATGCAAAAAATGTGCCTTGCATTAACTTTCCAGACTTTATGCCCTGATGTATATTTGCTGGAGTCAAATGCGGAGGAAAAATTGGTTCTTTACTAGTTTCTTCTACCAAACAAGAACGATTGGACAGTTTATCAGTTAATGTAACATTGTTTAATCCACTAACATATTGTTCAACTGAAAATCAATGTTATTAATTCACTCAAAAATATTAAAATTTATAATTTCAACAAACTCACGCGACATTGTAGGTATTCCTTCATTAATTGCTTTAGCCTTACTAGCTTCATCACTGGTTAATAATAATACTTTTATTTTATCATCCAAATGTTTATTATACCAAAGAGCTGCTACCCTAATCATGCGGTCATTGTAATCGTTGGGACTTTCTCCTCTTACACGTTCAACATAAGTATCCCTTAAATTAATAAAAATCAAGATAAAGTAACAAATTTTAATTTTCAAATAACTAGTTATTAACATTCGTTAAAAATTGTTTTGAGATATAAATGTAGAATATTATGCAGTTATTAATTAAAACAACAGTAAAAATATTATCAGTTATTAGTTTGTTCTAATTAATTTGGTTTATTTAAAAAATGACAAATCAAATAACTGTATCAATAAAACAATGAAAATCAAGAATAGTTAAAATCTTAAATAATTTTATTATATAATATTATATAAACAAGTACTTAAAATAAATAATACAAATAATAATTGTTCTTACCTATGATAAACATTAACAAAAATATAAAAACTCCTAGAATGATTTCCTATAATATCCATTAGGCGTTTATAAACAGTATGACTGAGATGTTTGACTTCTTCAAGTACAGTTTGTAAAATAATAACATTTTTCAAAGTATCATCTTCCAGGGCATCAATCTATAGTCAATAAGCATTATTCAAATATTAAAAGATCTTCATAAAATTAATAAATGATAATATTACAAATATAATTTATATCCTAGTTATAAAATCATTTTAAAAATGAAGTGCTTTAATTGAAAACATTAATTTAGACTAAAATATTACATATTAAAGAACAAAAGAATACATTAAAAAAAAAAAAAAACCGAAACCTATAACTATAATAAATACCTGACGCAAAACTACATTCGTGTCCACTAACAAAAAATGTTTGTCCGGAAAATCGGTGTTAATAGATTGGTGTTTGACGAGTGGCCTTTCGTTGTTGTGTTTGCATTTTTTACATATTTTAGAACCGCAACCTATGTCATCTCTCAAATAGTGTTCGCGTACAATCTAAATGGAATATTCACAAGAGTAAATACATTATATTAAATTATTACGGTAGCGAACACTTACCTTTAAAATATTACCACGCTTAGTTTTGCGTAAAAACGTTTTCGATGTCACTTTCATAGTCATGATGCTACTGTGTTCGGAAATAACACAGCAATGTCAAGGAAATTATTTTAGTTTAATTGACTCAAGAGTCAGACGTTTTGTGGTCACTAAGTCTAAGCCTCAAAGGACTAACACCATAGTCAATATGATATTGTAATATTCAAATTCAAAACAAAATATAGTTAAGACAAATAAATAACGCACAACTCACGTGTATAATACAACTTACAAGTGATAGTAGTGATACACCGCTGATAGTGAAATAATTGAAATATCAATCTGTTCGTGGGAAAAAAACATGTTTATTATTGCTCTTAATCACGATTTAAGACTATTTTAAACCCATTGAACTCTATATGATAACTGGAATGCTCACCAGTCATAAGACCAATGTAAACATAACCGAGATAGCGTGTTAGAAAAAGACAGCAGATAAGAATGGTGTTGCTATCTTTTTTTATCACACATAGTTATATGAATTGATTACCAATACATTTTAAATTCGTTGTTCGTTTAACGTTTTGACTTTTGTTCTGCCTTCTGCGTTCTCAAAGTTTTAAAAATAATTAAAATAGTGTGTACCTACTGTGCAGTTAAGACTTAAAATGGTGAATTTTTGTAGTGCCTTTAATTGTGCTAGCTCTAGTGATGTTAGAAAAGACTTGTCATTTCACAAGTTAGTATTAAGTTATTATATGGTGTTATTGATTTTACTCATTGATATTTTTAAACAGATTTACATCTATTATTTTAATATTTAAGGTTCCCTCTTAAAGATAAAGAGAGGCTTCAAAAATGGGTGCATGCTGTTCGAAGGAAAGATTTTAAACCTAGTTCCAATACAACTTTATGTAGTTTACATTTCAATGAAACTGACTTCTATTCAGCAGTTGTAAGTGGGAAAAAAATGTTAATAAAATCTGCTGTACCAACTGTATTTGATTTCCCAAATCATTTAACTCCAAAAATTAAAGAAAGGAGAATTCTGCAACGAGAAGTAAGTAAATTATACAATTAATAAAAACAAGTATTTATATATTTTTTATATTAGTTAACTTAACAGATCATATAACTCCAAGGTTATGAATATAGTTAAAGTATCTACAAAGTATCATAGTATCTTTAAATATTTATTTATTTTAGGAAATTTGGCCATGAAGTATAACAAAATGTATTGCAGATTTTGTTTTTCTGGATATTTCCAGTACTAATATTTCCTAAATTATAAATCTACAATATTAAGCTTAAGTTAGGAAAGTAGTAAGTACAATCTAAAGTAAGTAGTAGATATAGCTCCAGGTAAATAGCGTAAGTACACTTTTATTTCAATTATGATTAATATTATAAATACTATGTTTATATTTTAATAAATATTATTTTACTAAAAATGCAGTTGTTATTTCATATGCTTGAGTTATGAACTAAAACCTTCTAACTTTCAATTTACAACTTAATTTATTCCCAACTTAAAATTTCCTATTACTTCCTTTATATGACAAAAAAATGCAGAAGTCTACAAAAAAACATGTTTCAATACTTGTTATATTATTTTAAATTATAATTATAAACTAATAAACTATTTATTTATCATTTAATTATTTATATTTTATTAAATTAATAAAAAATATTTTGTGGAAGTTAAAAAAAATAATGAGGTGCAACTACATTTTAAGAACCAAACTAAAATAATATCGCGGTAAAATATGAAATTAAGACATTAGCGCCATGTGCAAGACAAAGATAGTAACACCATTAGTATGTGCTATCTCATTCTAACATCCTCTTTCGGGCAACACTGCTTGGTGAGCATTCCAGTTATCATATAGAGTTCAATGTTTAAACCACGTTTCTGGTTCCAAAATATTATTATCACTACACGTGTTGATAAACTGATAACACTGAATTAAACATAATTATTTTATTGTCTATAAAATTAAGCACCTTGAAACTTTACCATAAATTAGATAACACACCTGGTTAAATGTGAAAAATATTTCATAAAAATCTTAAATCATAGATTAATGTTTTGTTGACTATAAAAAATACTTATATTTTACTTTATTTTAAGTATTTAATGTTTCAATGACAATAATAATATAATTTTGTTTATGCTAACTTTTAAATTCAAAAATTCTACCTAATTGTAATTAAAAATTATTTTAACCGCAGTCGATATCAATTAGATCAGTAATCTAACGGTAATATATTTCTGTATTAAATATTTCATAATGCATTTATAATTTTTGTGTAATAACCTATTTTATTTTATTTAAAGTTATTTATCTTAAATCTTAATAGTAAACATCACATTTTAATATTCTTAGCTATTTGTTTTATAATTATCTATTAAAGATGTATTAAATTAGTCTGCCTAATAAATAATAATAGGTATTATGTATAATATTTAATATCTATCATTTTAATCCAATATAATTTTGAACTAGATTGTTTTGACAAATTTTGAACGTTCTTTAAAGAACCTTAAATGGTAGAATACATTAAAGCCATAACATGTATGATTAAAGTAATTACAAATATAAAAGTAAAAAATATAGTATCATAAACTTAGGTATATTTTAAAAATTTATTTAGGCACTAATAATTATTTCTATCTTAACAATAATTTAATATAGTAAGCTTACAAAATTAACTACAATTTATTAAATTACATTTATTGTGTTAGAATAATTATATCCCAAACTGCTAAATGGTTATGTTTTTTAATTTCCTTTAAAATTAAATTAATAGTAATATTTGTATGAAATATTTTTTAGGTGTATCAATATTTTTTTAGGTACCTATTTGACTAGTATAAGATTGATACAACTTAAATGTGAAATATTATAATGTATTAATATGATTTCTATAACCAGTTATTGATAAAAAAAAAAAATTTAATTTTTTTTTAAATTATCAAATGAACTATTAACTAATGGGTATGATAAAAAATTATAAATTGTTTTAATAAAAATTGATTTTGTTTAATATTGTCATTTATATGTTATATATACCAAAATAACTGCTAGTACGATTAAGATAGTTACAATAATGAATGTAATTTTGTAGAATATAAAAATATTATCTATCAAATTAAAATTGATAAAAATGATTAAATTAAGGTTACCTATAAATTTTTGTATCAGTATTGTACATAATGTACATATAATTTATTAGTTAATATTACATATTATAAATATATAGTAGAAGCAACAGATTTATGATTAAAATATGCAAAGGTTAATAGATATATTAATTTTGATAAAACTTACATAAATTATTTTTACCATTATTTTTTAATTCTATGTTAATTCATATTTTTAATTTTAGGTATTAAATGTCTATGATATTAGCAAATGTATGGAAATATAGAGTGAGTCATAAACATTTTTTTGCTCACAATAAATGTACACGAATTCAAACCATGTCTAATGACAGAAAGAGAACTGGAAAAGGAACTGATTTCAATGATGATGAAGGTAATTCTTTAATTTCATTATGAATGAATAATAAAATAATATTTTTCTTATAATTTAATGCTGCGTGTTTTTTATAAATAAAATATTTTAAAGGTACTATAAAATTTAATAAATCTTAAAATATTAAAAACTACCTACTCTTTTGTTTTTTAATAGTTTAGTGTAATTATAAATATTTTTTAGGGGTTTTGAAAATTACCATTGGTGATGTGAAAAAACTTACCAAAGCATCAAAAACTCCTGAGCTTGTTCCTATTGATTATTGTAAGTAATAAACATTTATACATTTAATTATAACTTATTTATTATATGCATTTTCATCTGAGACTTAGTAGTCTTTAAGAGATTTTTGCCGCCACCACTATCTCCTACCACTCTTGGTCCTGAATGAATCATCTCCATTATTTTGCTCCAAATTTCTAAAGTTTTTTTACCTAGATTTCCATCAACAATTGAGATCTTTTTCTTGTTTACTCTCAACTTAGGATTACTATTAATATCATTCTCACGTTTCCAAAGGGATATTGTATCCTTTGTCCGCTTATGTAACTGATAATTGATATTTTTTCCATTTATTTATGTTATTTATTATAAATAAATTATTATGGTTTGTGATTTATGTAAATTTTCTATAAATTTATTAAATATTTTTTCATTTAAATTTCCACTTGGTTTATTTTTAACCTATAAATTAAATATATATATATATATATATTGTTAATAATAATTATTAAATTTAGAAAAAAATTATTTTTTTTTTTTACAGTAAACATAAATTACAACCAGGATGCTATGTCCCACTTACGATGGATGCTTCAAAAAGATATTCTTGGTCAAGACATGTTTTTGATTGGAAAACCTGGGCCTCTCAGACGACGTTTAGCTTTAGCTTATTTAGAGCTTACTAACAAATCAGTTGAGTTTGTTTCATTATCTCAAGATACTACTGAAGCTGATTTGAAACAACGCAGAGAAATTATTGGAGGCACTGCAAAGTACATCAACCAAGTAAATTTTAATTCATTAATATTAATTTCTTCATAAACTATTATAATATTATGCTTATACAATGAGAATATTTTTATAGAGTGCTGTTAAAGCTGCAATTGAAGGACATGTATTAATTCTTGATGGAATTGAAAAAGCAGAACGTAATGTTTTACCAATTTTAAACAACTTACTTGAAAACCGAGAAATTCATTTAGAGGATGGTAGATTTTTAGTAGCACCCAAAACATATGATAAATTATTACAAGTAAAAATATAATATTATTAATTATTTTTATTAAAGTAATGAAGTTTAACAAAATAATACGTCTATATTTATTCCAGGAACATGGACCAGAACACATGATGAAATGGAATCTAGTTCGTGTCAGTGAGGATTTCTTTGTTATTGCACTTGGTTTGCCAGTTCCTACGTATAATGGCATTCCTCTAGATCCTCCTTTACGTTCACGATTTCAAGCTAGACATATCATGACACCATCTTATGCGGTAAGATAATGTTTAAATGTAACAATAATTTTAATTTCATATCATGAACATACGTTTGATGCTTAAAATTGTATAGTATTACATTTTTACATAATATTTTGAAATTATGACATTTTTACTAAAAAATTTACTTAGAAAATATCTCATTCAACTTTAAGAAATATTTTTCAGAAATAAATATATTTGTTTAATCATATCTAATAATGTTCTTATAAACTTCAAAACTTTTAACATTTTAAGAATATTTTATTTGCCAATAAAATAATTATTAATACAGGTATAGGTACATAAAAATAAATGCATCAAGATTAAATTAAAACAAGCTATTTGTTAATACAATTAAATAATTATGTACACCAGACCCTCAGCTGAATATATTTTTTTGTTTATCACTAAATAATATTTAACTATTAAAATATCTTAGTAGGTATTTTATTTTAATTTAAGTTAACACTATAAAAATACCTTAAAGTGTAGGTTCTAAACTACATTGAAACATAAAGCACAAATATTGCACAATACTTAAATTAATAGAATCACTTTACAAACTGATGTATGTAATATTTTTATAGCTAGATGTATAAATTATTTTATTTATTTCATTGATTTTAGTTCAACTAATATCAGTATCCAGAACAATTACAATTATTAACAAAATTATAATTATTTGTTCTCTTCTTATTGTGTGTCATAATTTTTACAGTATAACAAATATCCTACCAACTCATCATACTAATTAGAAAGTTCCTTCTACTTATAAAGAACATATTACATATAATTTTACGTATATGATAATGCAGTACTATAGCGAGACATTAATTGAATGGGGTAGGTGAAGGAAAACAAATTTATTTTTTAATACAAAATTATAATCTAAGTTGATTTATTAGTAAAAATCAAATAAATATGAGATAAACTATTGTCGTTGATAAAATTTATATTGAAATGATATATTTGATGTCCCTAGGGAAACTATTAATATTTATTTTTTTATTTGATTTGCTTAGCTCAAATTGTCTTTTATATGTATGTGATTTTAAACTTTAATAATCTTTATAAAAATTATAAACCAGCTTAACTTCATTAAATGTATTACTGCATGCTTTAGAAAGTAAATATCCATACAGTAGTCATTGAAGTAATATGTCTGAATTTAATGTAAAAGCTTTATTAAAAAAAGAAATCACGTCACCTAAAACTGGATAAAAAAAACACGCGCGCCCCCCTCCCCCAAGTTGTCCCTTCCCCTCTTGCTACGGCACTGAGTCGAGATGAACGATTTTTTTTTTTTTTTGAGATTTTGCATACCTACTTAAATATTATTTTCCGAAAAACCAGATTCGCTAATACCCTCGTAGACGTTAGCGATTTTACCATTATCCGCAGTGGTGCAAGTAACTGAGCTACTACCCTGCATTACGGATGGCATGTGAACGTGCAATTCGGTTTTATGTCGACTTTTTACTACGGATCTCTTGGTCGGCCTCTTGTCGTGGATCACGATCGCCTGCCGATGTTCGGACCTTTGGCTATGGCGTTCTGGGATCGAACAGGTCTTGACAAGTGCCGGGCGCCTGCAACCGCCGCGAACGTCGCTGCCCGGCGCCGACATGGGTTTTCGGCGCGCGTCCAGCTCCGCCGACGGCTTTTGCAACCACTGCAATACACGCTCCATGTAATTGTCGTCGTCATTGCAACTGCGTTCAATGCCTTTGTCGTCGTGGTCATCGGCCGTCCTCGAGCTCTGCGCCCCGCGGTCCACGAGTGTCGCCCGCCGCCGGTGCTGCAACCGTTTTTCTTTTTCGAGCGATTTGTCGTCGTCGGACAGCAAAACGTGTCGGACACCGCTCACCCACGTGGTCCGAACCACCAGCCGCCCGCACGACGATTTCCACCGGAAAAACTCGTACGGGTCCGCATCGGCCGTCTTCATATTCGCAGCCGTGTTCGTGATTTCCGCAAGCGTTCCTACTCGTGCGCGACCGGGACGCCGACTGAACTGGCACATACTTTATTATTATATCCGAATTCGAAATCGCCGTACACATTTGCGTAAACGTCTCGTGTGCGCGTGTGACTGTGTATCGTAAATGACGGCCCCCTCAACGTGAAACCAACGACTCTTAGACATGCACACGCCATCCATCGTGCACCCTACCCAACCCCCTCATAGAGAGACGCCCACGGCTAAGTCGTCCTGCGTTTTATTTTTCTTCAAAACGTGTATAGCGCGGTTACGGTCGTCGTCAGCGTGTGGCGGGTCTGGCGGGGTGATGTATATATAGCGGTACATAGTCTCTTTTTTTAATGTGACAGTGTCATTATTATACGGTTTTCAAAAACGAATAAACATAGATTGTGTATAGGTACCTCCGTGGGTAGCATTTATTGAGGTATGAATAAAAAAAAATAGAAATTTCCGTGACGATAAACGCAAACAACGCAGTCGTAGAACTAATAAGACAGCACACATTAAATTGTAAAGGTACCACAGTTTATTTAGGTTTTTTTTTTAATCGTTTGTAATTGTTTACTGTTGAATGTAATATTTATATTTTATATGCGTGTGTGTGAATAATATGATGTTAAATGTTAATATTGTTAATACCTCAACTATAATAACTATTTTTACGTTAATCGGCTATAACGTTTTTATAATTAGTCGGCATTTCTTTGTAACTCTTTTCGTATATTTTAATTATTTACCATGATCGACTGAAGGCTAGCTATGTGTTTACTGTTTATGACGGGAAATGATAACTATACTCCATAGTTATATACTCTTATAAAAGTTGAATTATCAATAATTTACGTCTACTGATGGTAATTGGTATTGATAATTGCGGCCCGATGTCGATTACATGAATTATGTTCCAACTTAAAATTCGTTCAAACTTTAAACTAACGTACTACTACATTAAACGTATATAATAAAAATATATTACTAATAACAATTTAGATAAACAGAAAACGGTTTAATTAAAATATTATTACTTTTTAAACTTTAAATTAAATCAGATAAAACCACAAAACTCCTTTTTTTATTTATAACAATATAATAGTTTTGTGTACTGCAAAAACCCGGTAAAGTTGCTTTGCTGTACCTATAGTGAGCATTGATTTTACTTAGATTTTAGTTAAATTTGAATTCATTATTCAACTGCGAATCATTGCAAACATAAAACAATTATAATTAGAGCTTATAGGGCAGTATATCTGCATACTATATAACTAATTAGGATATTTTATTATTATTATATTATTATATATTTATTTTATTGGTATAACGTAAAATAAGTAATTTATTGTTCTATTATTAATATTGTACGTTGAATTAATTTTTAATATTTTTATCAAAAACATAACATTTATTATAGGTACCTATTATTGTTGTTAATTTTTTATTCAACCTATCGTTGTATAAATGTACCGAAAACGGTGTGAATAAGTTTGTTGCCTTTTAAAAATTGTTATGAGAAAATGATAACTAAAATAGCCGTGGAAATTTTTAAGTGTTTACAGTTAATATTTTTTTTAATAACTAAAATCATATTTTTTTCTTAAAAATGCCCAATTACATAAAATAATGATTATCAAACAGCCATAAAAATGTTTTCAACTTTTTTTTTAAAAAGAAAATACAGGTTATTTTCATATTGATAAAACTATTTTTAATCATAGGATTAATGGTTTTTTATCGATCAAATTTATGTTATTAAAAAATGTATTGATATTTGTTTTAAATATTAACTTGATCATATGAACACAAATAAAAATTACTGTAGAAAAATGTTAGATACAGTACTATGCAGGCTGCACAAAAAAAAAAAACGTATCAAAAAATAAGATTTACTAATTTATTTTCACTAAATTCTCTAATGATAATTCTGGTATCCCCATGCTTTAAAGAAGTTGAGGACCGCATGTTCAACAATGCCTGTTGTATATCATATGTACCTAATATTATTTGTGTAATCTGTAATCTAAAGTATTGTTAGACAGACCACATAATAGTAATGCGAAATGCGTCACATTTTAAACATTATCTTTTTATTGTAATTATCTTCCTATGTAAAATATAAATAGATAAATTTAAGTAAAATTTTAAGGAAGCACAAACTACAAACGAACAAAACCAAGTAATTTGGCTAGTAGATGTATAAAAAATATTAAAAATATTATGAGCAATAACGCGCGTATAGGTTATAATTATAACATTTATAACCTATCAAACTTAAAATTATTTGAGTAATAATTTTATAAAGTAAATAAACAAAAGTTTAGCAAGCTACAGACGAAAACTCATTGTTTTCAAAAAGGTGCTTAATGTTTTTATTAACAGTTCTATTATTTTGCGAACAGTGATTATCTATAATGTTGGCCGCAATTTATACAAAAAAAAAGTTTTTAAAAAATCATGTTCCCAAGCCGTTAAACTAATGATTATTATAGAGTGGAAAAAGTCGTCAAACGAAACATTTTGATCAACCCCCACCGCAACCATCATAATATAGTAGTTCTTATATTTTTATATCGTCACTATCAAACTCCTGTATAATGGCCTATAGCGTGACTAAAGCTATTATGTGCAAGCTCGTCTAGTACCTACCTCAAAAGTTTCTCGAAGTGAATTTATGTTAATGACTCTATTATTTATTTTTATTCGCAATAATTAAATTATAATTTAATATTTAGAACATGCTAAATGACCTGACTGCTGAGTACCCAACGGCACCTAAAGACAAGTTGGAAAAAGTTTTGTCCTGCGCTTATGCTTTGGCGTCACCGGAGTCCAGTGAATTGGGCTTGCACGATTTCCCAATAGAAAACATCCCTGCCGTCGCTAAACTAATCGTAAGTACAAAACATAAACACACTATTTTGTAAAATAAAATCTATGATTATTGCAAGAATTCTCAACATATTAAGAACTGCTCAAGAGGACGTCAACTATATATGTGTTGTCTTCGTTTTACAAACGTGTACAAAATAACAAATATAACTTCACAAATTCTCGATAATCCATTTAAATCTATTAATTTTTAAATTAGAATTTTACTTGTAATAAAATGTGTAAATGTAAGATCTAAGGCATACAACTCAAAACAAAATAAAATAAGTTGTTGTTAACTTACAATCTGCAGCTATGCGTTTGTACGTAAGATAGAGGCAACATGTGCAAATTATGATATTTTATCCTTCATATTTATAAATACACTACATTTTTTTTTAATAATCTATATATTTTCATTATAATAATTTAATTTAGTTGTTTACAATACTTATGAGTTATGACACACGGTCACATAAAATATCGTATATATTTTAGTTATGCGTATTCCTATAGTACTATTTAATGATTCCAAATTTTAATTAAATGATGTATCCAGGGCCGGTGTTAGGGGTGGGTGACCTAGGCCTATGTCCAGGACGTTTGTTGAAAAGGAGCGCCTTAATGATATAATGTTAAAAATAAAAAAAATTATAAGAATACAATTCTAATACCTATTTTAATATTCTCGAACACCTGGATTTTATTAACAATTCCTGTTATTGTTGCCAGTGGCAAAAGAATACTTTCGAACTTAAAACTAATAAAAACTTATCTGTGTTCAATGTTGGGAGATGAAAAGCTAACATCTCTAACAATTTTTTCTATTGAAAATAAAATAGTTCAAAGAATGGATTTCTTAAAAATTATTAAAAATTGAGAGGCGCATAATATTTGTTTATTCGTACAAGGCGCCAATGGCTCTACTGCCGGCACTAGGCGTATCCTTGTATACCGTTGTGAACCAATAATAAATATTTTACTCGTATAATTACATTATTATCGTGCCACTTGACATAGAGATTCGTATGTATTTTATGTAAACTGTAGCCGCATATTTCAGTATAACAACCCGTCCGTGTCGCCAAATAATGTGTTCAAACGACTCTATCCATATGAAAGCTTTATGAATCCGGACGGAAAACGTTCCGTAAACAATATACTGTCCTCTCTCTGTCCAGAAAACGATGACGAACCAATCAATCGACACGTCGTGTCCGTCGGAGGACCGAACATCCAAAACGAGGCCGAAGTTGTGCTAGACAATTCCGAACGTTTTACGGTAGGTGCATTAGATAAACAAAATAAATAATAATATTTAATCATCTAGTGCATTTTATATGACATTATGCATTACGTTTGACTTGTTTAAATAAAATTATATTATGCACATAGGCACCGTCAGGAAACGTGACTTCCCCAAACGTCGCTGCGTTATTTCCAAATTTCGTAGACACTGGCTATCAAAACGCTGTACTGTCGGATCTGGCGCTCAGTCATTCGGTAGCCGACATATGCATTATTGGACCAAGAGGCAGTGGTAAGACAGCAATCGTGAATAGATTTGCGACCACATTTCATTACAACGTGGAAACCGTTTCTCTGTATCAGGTTTGGGTTAACAGAGATATTATTAAATTTTTTTTCCTATCGTGTATTTATACTTCGCTATAGGATTTAACAGCAAGAGATTTAATCCAACAAAGAACCACATTATCAAACGGTGACACTGTTTGGAAGTATAGTCCGTTAGTGGTTGCTGCCATCGAGGGAAAATTAGCCGTCCTTGACGGCCTTCATAGACTGCATTCATCGACGTTATCTGTTTTACATAGGTCAGTTTTAATATACATTTGTACCTACTTCAAATATATTTCTTAGCAACTTGCACAACTAATATAGTAGTATATATATATATATAGTAATAGTAGTATATATGTATATATTATGTATGTTATATTTTTCAGACTTGTTCAAGATCGAGATCTTCAACTTTATGATGGTACTAGATTGTTAAGATCAGACAGATATGACAAACTGGCAAAAAAATTAGGAGAAGATGTTATGAAAAAATCAAATATTATTCGCATACATCCAGCTTTCAGAATTATGGCGCTTGCTGAACCACCTGGTTAATATTACTTTTAGGCAAAAACAAAATGTATTGCTTACATTATTTAAATCATTTTATGTATGTTAGGTGGTACCATTCCTCAATGGATCACTCCTGAAGTACTAAATATGTTCATATTTCACGAACTTAGACCTTTGTCCGCTGTAGAGGAACTGAAAATTGTGCAGCATCTTGTAAGATTTGAATTTTGGAATCATCAAGTTAATGTTTATTATAATATATATATTTATATAAATACAATTTTTTTTCAAGTATCCAAATAGTGTAAAACCAATGAAAAGACTAGTTGCTGTTACAAAAAAACTCCGAGAATCAACTGATATTTATTTAAATTCTTTGGCGCCATCTTTATCTACACGCCAATTATTACGAATCTCAAAAAGACTTGACAAATATCCTGATTCAGACTTTTATAGTATTGTTAACAAAGCTTGTTTATCTCAGTATGTTTTTTTTTTTTTTACTTGATATTTTGGAGTAATTAACACATGTAATACACTTACACCATTTTTACTTTTAACTATAGATTTTTACCACAACTAACAAAACAAATGCTCGAAAAAACATTATACAGTTGCAGTATTCAACCAATATTTGAAAATGTACAGGACTCTCCAATAAACTGTAAATATGACAATGACAACTTAACTATTGGTGAAACAACTATTGCTCGATATAAAACTAGCGCATCTAGTAAAGTACCAAATATTTTATTCTACGATTTACCTCAAGTAAGAATGCAATTCTGGGAAACAGCTATAATTTAATTAAATAAAACTTTTTCTTTAGCATCTAAAACAACTAGAAATTATGCTACAAGACTTTGTTTTGGGAGAACATCTTTTGTTAGTTGGAAACCAAGGCGTCGGCAAAAACAAACTAGTTGACCGATTTTTACAATTAGTAAATAGGCCTAGAGAATATATTCAACTCCATAGGTATGAGTTTATCAAATTAAATTTTTTTTGTTTTTTTATCAGAGATATATTTTTTTCCAGGGATACTACAGTACAATCGTTGACTAGTCAACAAACAGTAATTGATGGTGTATTACAAATTGAAGATTCACCATTAGTTAAAGCTGTTAAGGGTGGTTATGTTTTAGTTATAGATGAAGCTGACAAAGCACCAGCTCATGTGACATGTGTATTAAAAAATCTTGTAGAAACTGGCAACATGAGACTGGCTGATGGTAGACAAATTATCAGTAATGCTAATATTGTAAATGACGACAATGTGATTATTCTTCATCCAGACTTTCGAATGATAGTTTTAGCGAATCGACCAGGATTCCCATTTTTGGGAAATAATCTATTTAGCACACTTGGTACATATTTTTTATTGTATTTAAATAAAAAATATATTGATTTTTGAATGTTTTTTCTAGGTGATGTATTTAGTTGTCACGTTGTTGACAATCCTAGTCGTGAATCTGAAACACAGTTATTGAAAAGCTATGGACCTGATGTTTCTCCAGAAGTTATTGATCAAGTAATTTCTGCTTTTGGAGATCTGAGACAACTATTTGATCAAAACTTAGTCTCATATCCATATTCCACTAGAGAAGCAGTTAATATAATCAAACATTTGCAAATTTATCCCCAAGATACGTTATTAGATGCAATTAGAAATGTATTTGATTTTGACTGTTTTTCCAAAGAAGCACAAGAAGTGATCACAAATGTTCTCAACAAACATAAATTACCAATAAAACTATCACCTTGGGCAGGTCCAACTCGTAAGTAATCCAATAAATTGTAAGAATTAAATTTGTAAAGAATTATGTTGGTATAAAAAAAAAAAATCTACAAATCACTGTGGAAAAAGAAAGTGGTCTTGATGTTTCTAGCCCAAAACATGGTAAAGTAGATGAAAAAAACGAACCTCATGTAGGTGGAAACACATGGGCTGGTGGTACTGGTGGCAGAGACACAGCTGGACTAGGTGGAAAAGGAGGTCCTTATAGGTTAGATGCAAAACATAAAGTTTTTCAAGTAAGTTACATTAATAGTTTTAAATGTATTTTTACTGTAATCATTTTTAATTTTCTAAATTGATAAAATTATATGTTAATATTTATAAATAGGTGTCTGATGCAGAAAAAGATGCTGTACCAGAACATATCAAAGAAGCAGCAAGACAAATGGGTCAAAAGGCATATAAAGAACGTCTCAAGGAAATAGAAATGACTGAGTATGATGACAAAATATATAATGAATATTCTTTACCAGTAAAAAATCAAGTAAAATAATATTTGTTACTTTTATAAAAACAATTTTACTAAAATTAATGAAATTTTTGTTTAGGTGCAGGCATTGAGAGTGATACTGAATTCGTTACAAGCCAAATCCCAAGAAAGACAATGGGTTAAGCATCAAACATCTGGTGAACTGGATGATAGTAAATTAATAGAAGGTAATGAAATTAAGTACATTTTATTTTAAATTTTTAACTTTTTAACTTTTTATGTATTTATATTAATTTTTAGGTGTTATTGGCGAACGTTCTATTTATCGGAAAAGGGGTAATGTTGACCCACAAATTGGAGCTCCTCAGTTAAAACCAAAACGTTTGAGGTTTATCGTGGATGTTTCTGGCAGTATGTATAGATTTAACAACTATGATGGACGTTTAGATCGTGAACTTGAAGCTGTCATAATGGTGATGGAAGCACTTAGTGGTTTTGAAGACAAAATTAGTTATGATATTGTTGGACATTCAGGCGAGACTGAATGCCTTAAATTTGTAGATAAATCAAATCCGCCTACAGACAATAAACAACGATTAAATGTTATTAGAAAGATGCATGCTCATACTCAATTCTGTATGGCTGGTGATAATACTCTTCAATCTGTTGTGTACGCACAAAAAACCTTGGAAGCTGAACGCAGTGATTTTGATGAAGCTATAATTATATTATTATCAGATGCTAACTTATCCCGATACAATATTAGACCGGATAGATTGGCTGCTGCACTTAATCTGAGTGAAGATGTTCAATCTTTTGCAATTTTCATTGGATCACTTGGTGATCAAGCTGACGTGTAAGTAGTCAATAATTTAACATACATTAACTCATTCGCTGTGCATCACATTTGTATACAGATTCTTGTCACTGAGCTGAAAAACTAAAAAATCATAAAATTAAAATAACAATGTATAACAAATATATAAATTTTATGAGACTAAAAAAAAAAATATTGCTTAATTGTAACGCTGGTCACAAGTGCATTAAGTAATAAAGTACATGATACAAATTAGTATTGTAAACAGTGAATGAGTTAAAGTATATTTGTTTTGATTTAAACAAATGTATGTTGTTATTGGTAAATATTTAGAATTTTAGATGATTAGTGTTAAAAGTATTGGATATTATTATTTTCATTTATAATTGTTTATAGTATAGTAAATATTAAAGAGTTAGTTACATTGATAAAAATTATTTATTAATATTTTATGAATTTCAGGTTAACTAAAAGCTTACCAGCGGGTAAAAGTTTTGTATGTATGGACCTCAAAAACATCCCACAAATCATTCAACAAATTTTCATGTCTTCTATTATGAGTGTTTTTTAATAAACCTGATGTGTTTTTTTTTATAAAAATATTATATGTTTGTAAATTGGTATTGTTATTGTATGATTTTATTAGATTCATGGATTGTAGTTACCAAGTAATATAAATGGAATATTATCTATGTATACGTTGAATGTTGATTATAAATATTGCTGTGATAGGACTAATTTTTCAATAATAAAGTTTTATGATATATTTTTCATTACACTAAGTATTTATTAATTATCCGTGTTCTTAGTATTTCAATTTTCTAGTATTGTACTTTATATTCACACTACTACACACTTCCACTGCTTCAAGATGTAATAAACATAAAAAAACTTTCACTGTATATCTGAAGAGTTTGATAGAATCTTGTGCAAACGATATGTTTATTTACTGATTTCGACTTCTTAATGAACTTTTAACTGGTCTTAATAAACGTATTTAGAAGATTAAAAATGAACTGATCAAAATGTTTTACAAAAAATTATGTGAAGAAATAAGGTTATACCTTCTCCCTCAATAATCTAAATTCTACGCGAGAAATAACAAAAATCGATCAAGCGAGTAAGGGACAGGGTTGGCAGGCGGCAGCTGCCCCTTCTTGCGAGCTGAACTTTTTTCAAAATAAACTAATACTACTAAATGTATTTAAGTACTAGGTGTGTATAGGAGTCAGGACCCGGGTTACCAAAATCTAAATCATACATTATGGTAACAATTTGGATCTATTTATTGTCCCTAGATGAAAATGTTTCAATGATTAACTGGTATCAACTATCAGGTTAGGAAAATCAAAATTATTACATCATAATACCTATAACACATTATACTTTATTTTAAAAGAAATTATGCCTACCGGCGACCAGTTTTCGCACGTTCCACCAACGAACCGTCCAACATCAGGCGACTCGTTCGACACCACCACGACCACACATTTATATAGGAAGTTAACGATATCATAATTCATGATAATTTCTAAAATTAAATACAAATTATTACGGTCTCGTTGTGTTTCACGGTATGAACGTATAATCGTTATATTTTTTTGTATATGTATACTGTTTAATTTTCAAATTAAAATGGAACAACAAGTGCTGACTAGTAACTAGTGAGTAGTGACTACTGACTAGTGACTTTAATGGCTAAATAAATTATTGAATCACTGATAATTTTTATATTTCCGTGCGATATTTGGGAAAACCATTTAAATCAGTGGTTCCCAAACTTTGTTTACATCGTGACACATTATTAGTTATTAAAAGTCACGGCATACTTTGGATAAATATTAAATATTATCTACTTTCCAAATATAAATTGTATATAATATATATATATATATATGTATAATGTATTTAAGATTCAACTTTTCACGGCACGCCTTCAAATTTCATGGCACAGCCTTTGGGAAACACTGATTTAAATCAATTCATCTTTGGGTTGATGTCATATTCAAAAATGTGTTGGCAACGTAAAACAATAATAATATGTATATCTGTCTATTGCCATCTTCCCAGTATATAACAATAGTTTTTCGAAACGTTCAATGGTTGCATGTGCATCGATTTGTTATTGAATGCGCGTAATGATTTTCAAAGTCAATTTCTTTATATTTCGTCATAAACTGATGATTTGAGACGTGCATTAAGGTCATCACTCATCAGAGAGTTTAAAACGTAGTATAACTGGTTGGTTTGTCGAAAATCATCAGACAATAAAATAAGTGCTCCACCGATGAACTGTTCATTTCTCTTCAAATCTTTCAGTGTGCGATCAAGCATTTCTAATGTTTTTTTTTTTTTATGTAGGCCACTGTGCATTCGTTCCACATTATGATAAATTTACATGTTTGGAGAACTTTGCTCATTCCAGAATTATAGGTGATATTAATGTTGGTGTCACAATGGCTTACAAATTCAACAGAAATTTCAGTGCCAAACGCCCGGTTCGACTACCGTTCAAAAATGTTGCCGCAATTTCAAATTTTTACCAAGCAATTTATTATGCCAGAATCAAATGGTTGCCAAAATGAGTGAAATGAAAAAAAAAATTGTTTTGCCTGTAACTCAAAGTGGATCTATCAAGTACAATACGTCAGGTTAGTTTGTAATTGCTTGTATTATACTATTATTGTGTTTTATACAATGCATTGTTCTGGAACCAATAGTGAAAGATTTGTTTCAACAAATGGGCCCAAATCATTAACATCAAAGTTTGTTTCACGTTGCAAATCACGGTCATAAGCGTCATTTGCAGATCATTAGTATTCGAAAGGTTAAACAATTATTTTATTTGATATTGAATATACCATTATCAAATAAATACTAATTATATAAATACTCACTAACATATGTAAAAATTACAAAGTACTACGACAAAATTATTTTCACATGGATGTACTATTTATATTAAAATAATCTTTGTTCGTATTAATATGAACCGCCAATTATACAAATAAATTATATGTATTTAAAACGTTAAGTGAACAATTATATTTGATATGAAATTATATTATCGGAAATATCACTGAGTATGTAAATAACATAATATGTAGGTACAAAGTACTTAGATAACATAATTCAAATCAATTTAATATTTTTACTAAAACTATATTTAATTAAAATAATTACTGTATAATTGTTTTCAATGAAAATATACTGTATACCACACTAGTCACTAGGGACAACGCCCTTCCAAACGAATTATCCAGCCAAGAGGGTTTAGTGTCCACTCGCATATATATACAGACCTATTATAATCCTTAGGCCATACTTGGCCTATAAGCTCAAGTCGTCTCTACGTGTTTTCATCAATTTCTGTTAATTAAAAGGTTTTCATTCATTACTATCATATAATTTATATTTTCCGTAAATTCCTAAAACTCCAAAGATTCTTATCTTTGGTACACTACGGAACGAATAAAGAGTTTGAAAATTTATACGAATTAAGGTAATAATAGTTATATTATCAAATCATTTATTTTTACACTCTACAGGTTAATTAATTATGAGTTATAATTTTCATGTACCTACAATAAAATTATAGCAAGGTTTACTTTACAGAGGAGTAATCGTGTTCCTCATAAGTCATAAACCAATGTTACATAGGAATTCACGAGTCACGACCTCCTTAATAGTAATTCCTCCTGTAGAAGAAGGTAATATAAATAGTATATTAGGTTGATTACCTAACTCTTTTTCTCATTGTTATCTCATATTATTTTTATTTCAACGTGAACGTCAACAGAGCGAGAGGGTGGAACAGGTGGGGCTAGAGCCTCCAGGCGGGCCCGTTGTCTGAGGCGTATTTAAGCACAGTCGCACAGGCCCTATAGACCCGGGAGGTCAATTTTACTAATTTTTTGAGTAGAAAAATTATTTTTATACAAATCATATTACGTTATATAATTTAAAATTACAAGTTAAGCCGTAAACATTCTCGTCCGATCGCTCAAAATTAAACAGCTACATGTAGCTACTATATTATCATTTATCACATACGCAACACAGTATGAAACAGTACGCACAAAGATAACAAAACATACGCGCATTCAATGCGAGTTTGATCTTTGTAATCGTCTAATCGGTTAGACTACTGTATTAAAGTGTTATGTATATCTTAGTATTCTTAGTAAAATATGAAATAACTATAAGTAAAGGGGCCCGGAATTGATCAGCCCCGGGGCCCACAAATGTTCTCGTCGGCCCTGAACGTCAATATAGTCGAATAGTTTGTACAATGTAATTTATTGAAGATAAATGTTTTGAATAGGATTTAAAACTTTAAAATTTCAATAAAAAGAGTAAAATTTTAAATAGACTGTATGTCTGTATAGTTTATTGTTATAGTTGTGGAGTCGCGCGCTATAGGCGGTACAATAACTTCGAAACGCAACTAACGCGACAGAAATATTGTCACACGGACGAGTAACATAGATAATCGCGATAACGCATGTATGATTATAACGATAACAATAATCATTGAGTGAATATCGCTCTACTGCACATTATAGATGTCGAAGTGGGGCACTGTTATTATATTATTGTTAAAAAATAGGTGTATGAACAAATAGAATTCGGGACTCGGGTCATCGAGATCCAAATCATATATGAATACAAAATGGATCTATTTGACATCTCTTGAAAAAATGACTCGCTGATTTAGGTACTGCGGTACCTATCGGCTATCACTTATAATATATTATAAAAGTAAATCAGTAAGTGATGCATCAAAAAAAAATATTAATGAAAAATTGAAAAATTAACTCATATATACTATTATACTATGAATAATAGTTTTGTATCATAAATTATTATTGTCATGTTAAGAAATGATAGATTTAGTTTTTAAATTAATAAGATCCGACACAGATTACAGTGTCATTGATTAAATCAAAGAAACTCGTACCTAATCTAAATACCACTATTACTACTGTCATGTTAAAATGTTAATATGTTATAGATAAAAGTTAATGTTTTATTAAGATAAAGTAGATACTTAGTATGATTGCAATTTAATGACATTTTATTATATTCAATTGCGTGTAGATAATTGTAATTTTATCAATCTATTTCAAAGAAATATAATGGTACTTGGGAAAAAACATGCATCTCTACATACAATATTATGTTAAAATCCATGTAAATTTGTTAATTTAACTTAATATAAAGTTTTTGGTTGCCAGAAAAAAATTATAGAATCTTGTCTTAAAACAAGCATGTTTGATGTATCGATTTAAATAATGGCTTTTAAACAACTTATATGTTTTTCCCGAGGCTCATCGAATATTTAGATTATTTAACGCAATTTATTGATATACTTTTATACATTTATTGTTATGGTGGAATAATGAAATTTTCAAATGTCAAATCATGAAATTACTTAGTTTGTAAATTGTATGATTTGCAGTAGAATAAAAACAATTGAACGATATATCCATGTCTAGCATTGAATAAAATATAATCACAGCTTTTGTATTGCATGAAAAAAACTAGAAAAAGCGCGATCGCGTGTTTAGTGCTTCTAAAAATCTAAGAATCGGAGAAAATAATGCCACTTATAGAAGAATAATTGTCTATAGCCTTATTTAGGTACATATAGCGCGACTAAATGGCCTATTTATAAGTATTCATATATATATTATTATTTTTATATATTATTATTAAATAAAATAAATTTAATAAGCATATTTTATACATTTAGCTTTAGTAGGTCGTAAATTATTTTATAAAAATCGTGTTATTATGCAATACATATCATATTATTATAAACCGTACGGAGCATACATTTTATATTATATATATATATATATATATATGATTACACATTTATAGGAATACATGAAGTCACATATATTTTATTATTGTTGTCGCTTAAATTTCAAAAAGGTAAACACCACTTAAGTGCGCATAGTTTATTATTTCACGATCATACGATCATCCAAACGAGAAATCTACAAAATCCAATTAAATACATAATAAAAGTAACTATGCTCATTCTGTTTTTTTTTTCTAATAACGAATTTATTCAAATTAAGATTTTGAAACTTTTAAACATGCTAAAAATTATATTTTTAAATTCTTACGACTTTTTATAGGTACATACTTACTATAAATGAGTATTTCATGGCGATATAAATTTCTTTTTTTTCTTTTTTTTAAATAAAACCCCTTTTTTCTGATTATTGCTTATAATAATAATTAATATTAGTGTATTAACAATTTTGGATTCAACTAGGAAACGGTTTGGAGTACAGAAACACAAAACTGGAATATGCAGCATCACATCACTTTAAACATCGGGTGCACTTAAGACTAAGTTTGTAAGTGACAGTGAAGAAATACCTAAAGGCTAGAACGTTTAAATAGTGGCATTTCAAAAGGTTAAATGGCCAGTAGAAGGACCTAAAGGAGACGCGAGAGCCAATGAAAAGATTCTATTCTATAGTGGGACATCTAATGATAAACATGAAAATGGAGTATATTTCCTATAGTAAATGATTGAATAAGTCATATTCGTGTAGCTGGTTAACAATACGAGATTTTATTGATATGTATATACTCGTCTACAGAAGCGGAAGCAAAAGAATCGAAGGATATATTCTATGATGAATTAGAAAGAGTATACAATAGTTTATCAGGATATTGCTTAAAAATTATAATAGGAAACTTAAAATCTCAAGACCTACAATAGGCATCTTTCCGTGTGTTGCGGGGTCCAACACTCGACCCCTTTATGTAATCGCGTGGTTGTATTTTCCAGGCGAGAGGCCCGGATATTTATCCGGGGAACCCTCCCGGGGCGCCACCTCTCTTTAGGTGCCATAATGAGTCTTCGCCGCCACCAGGGCCCGACGGATACTGCCCGAGTCAGACCCCTTCTATTAAGGCGGCCGGTACTCCCACAACCACCACGAGTCCTTCCTCGAGTGTGACGGACACGCCGCGGACGAGCGCGGGTCCTCGGTGAGTACCTGCAGTCGCGCGCCCCATGATCGTCACCCTCGGAACGTCGGGGTGCTATTAGCAAGCCAATCCGACGGGGCTTACTCCGAGTCCCGTGGTACGAGGTTCGAACCCGGCGTTTAGTCCCTCGTAACTGCCTTATCCGCAAGCAGGTTACCGGAGCACTGCTGTGTGTACCCCGGCGAACCCCCTTTTTGTGCGTACGACCTACAATAGGCAATGAGAGTGTACAATGTACGTACATGATAAGAGTAATAACAACGGTATTAGACTAGTTGAATTTGCAATTGCTAATAACCTTACAGTGATCAATAATTTTTTTCCCAGGAAGAATATAAATAAAAACACATGGGCCAGTCAATTAGACTACGTCTTGGTAATAAAGTACATAGATCATGTACTGAGATGTTAGGTCAAAAAGTGGGGCCAATGGTGACTCCAATCTATCTATTATAGTGCTTGTCAAAGTAAAAATAACCGGAAAAGATACTTTTTGAGTACTTAAAACTCTTTTCCATTTGTTGGAATATCAGCGTGTATCATCCATTAATTAATTAAAAATGTAAAATTATTTTTGTTTAGTCACATTAATTTTCTAATGCTTACATATATTTTTAATGGTCTGCAAAATTTTTGGAATAACAGTTGCTAGAAAAATAGAATAATGGGAAATATCTTTTTACCGGCAGTACTGATTTTCCAACAGGTATTGCAAATCGATACCCCACAGTAACCCGTGTTAAACTTAAAAAGTATCCTTTCTAGTTATTCTGTAATAATACTATTAATCCGATAAAAAGAAAGAATTAAAAGAACAAATAATGTTAAGTTTAATGTAGAAAAATTAGAAAATGAAAATATACTTTAACAATTCAAATTAGGAATAAAGGGTACACTGGATCTTCATGCAAATAGGCGTGAAAAGGAACTGAAAGCATAAACTGTGCGGGGATTGATTCAGAACTCAGTATTGGGAGTGGCAAATAACGTAATTAAATAAACTCCTAGATTGAAAACAAAGCACTGATTTAATCAAAAGTGCATATAATTCATCAAACTATGCAACGACTCTAGAATTCAAATGATCCAATATATAATTCAGTTAAGTGAGGAAATATAAGAAAAAATGAGGAAAATCACACAAAATGATAATAAGGAGAAAAATTGAATGGAAAAGGAAAATATTGAAAAATTAGAGCTAACCAATTTCGGGTATTCCGTTGCGCTAGGCAAGTCCGCACGTCCGATTAACTCACGTCAGCCATATTGGTTTTTATTAATTTGGTTCATTTTATTGCTGATGTAATCGCCGCTTTGGTCCCTTTTTATGATGTGTCGTTATCCCGTGCCTGCAAGTTCACCACCGGTGTTTCCGTCCGTTCGCGATTTTATCCAAGTTTGACTATACTATAGTATATAGTTTGAGAATAGTATCGTCCAGCAAATCCTAGCAATTGCTTTGTTCTCCGTTATGCATCGGTGCGACAAAAGTTGTTCATCGCAGTTTACTTCGCCGCCAGTTTGATAACCATGATACCTGCAACCGCGGTTCAGGCGTCAGTAGTTCGCCCTCATTTCCACCGCCACCAAATGAGATTCTTCTGTTACATTATTAAAATGATTTTTCCATTGTATTACATAATATTAACCACGTTATTAATTGTTGATATTAGTATTTATACCATTGCTCTAACTTAAAGTAACTCTGTTTAATCCTATCTCACTTAAAAATAGAGGTTTACTCACGGAGAGTATGTCTGCCAGTGTTGCGTGTCCAAAAAGCGACAATAAGTTAATTGATCCACGACGATGCGTCGACAGGAAGTATTATACAATTTGTAAAAAAATCAAAATTGAAGTAGGCAGGCCAAATCTGGAAACCTGACAAATGACAACAGTCTTGTTAAGACGTTACTTGTAAGTTAATTAAATAGGAAAATACCTCATGGTAGACTGAAGCAACGACGGTTAAATACTTAGATATGTAATTAATAATGACAAATGTGAGTAATATGACATATTGGAATTGAAACCAGATTAGAATAGAAACATGAATTGTACGTTTAATACAGAGGAGTGGGAGAATTTGATATTAATAGCAAAAGCTGTTAATATATCATATGATTACATATAAGTAACATTATAGAAATCGAAAGGTAAAGAAATTGTCTTATTTGATATTAATATAATTAAATACCTATTAACACATGTAAAAAGTACAAAGTACTACGAAAAAATTATCTTCACATGGATGTACTATTTATATTAAAATAATCTTTGATCATATTAATACAAACCGCCATATATGCAAATAAATTATATATACCTATTTAAAATGTTAAGCAAACAATCTTATTTAATATCAAATTATATTATCACTGAGTTTGTATACAACATATGTATAAAGTACTAACTCTAAGATAACATAATTCATATCAATTTAATATTTACACTAAAACTATATTTAATTAAAATAATTACTTTAAAATCGTTTTCAATGAAAATATAACATACTAGGGATAATGCCTCTCCAAATGTATCATCCAGCCCAGAGGGTTTTAGTGATCCTTGGTCGATAAGCTCATATATTTTTTACGCGTTGGCATACATTTTTGTCAAATAAAAAGTGTTCATTCATTACAGGTATATAATTTACATTTTATATTCCTATATATTCTTAGAACTCTGAAGATTTCATCTTCGTTACTACACTGCGGAACGAATAGAGTTTGAAAATTCATGGTAAGAAGTACTATTATTAAATCATTTATCTCTACCGGTGAATTAATTATTATTATATAGTTATATTTTTCATATTCGATTAGCTAAGTTAACTTAATAGAGGAGCAATCGTGTTCTTCATATACCATTATTATAGGAATTTTTGACTTCCTTAATAGTAATTCCTCTTGAAGGAGAAGATAATAGTATAATACTTATAAATAGTATATAGGTTAACTCTCCTTCTCATTGTTGCCTCATATTATTTTTGTTACAGGGCTTATATAGTCTAAAATACATAAAAAAATATATTTTAATATTTGTTTAATCTCAGTATGTACTACTTATAAGGAATATTGAATTCAATTTTCATATCTCATATAGAAATATTGAAGATTGTATAGTATACAATTGTAATGTATACACTATACATATTGTACAACCAAAAACTTTTGTAAATTTTCGTGATTTCGAAAAATTTGAATTTCAAATGCATATAAAAAGTTGTGCTTAAATATTTTCCTTATAATAATACTTTTTGTTTTTAATTTTAAAATTTATTATTTATAGATATTGGTATGGAAATTAACAATGTATTTTTATACAAATACAAGAACAGTTTTTGTGGGATCTTGTATTATATTTTCAAAACTTTATCTAGCAAATAACGTTTAAACCATGTTTATGGAAAAAAAAATAGAATTTTTCTTATATTTATTAATAGAAGAAAAATATTACTTTAACAAATACTGTGAATTACTAATTTTTATTTCTCTTAAGTGCAAGCTAGATTCAATTTTCTTTTCCAAATCACCCTCATAATTGAAAATTAAAGCATAAGGTACTTGTCGTATTTACGTACACAAAAAAAAAAAAACATTTCATCGTAAAACCAATGCATTCATAGCTCCGTTTAGAAATTAAAAGTAATGAAAATATTTGACGAATCATACTGTATGTGTCTTTATAATACACATACAGGTAGATCTACTCAAGAGTAATAGGTACCCGCAGACCGCAGTGGCGTATTATAGAAGCTATAGTGATCTCCGGACTCCGGGTCTTGACCCTCTTCCCCTAGAAGAAAAATAAAGGTTCAATAGTAATAATAAAATTATTAATTCATAACTCATAATATTATATTGTATTTTTTTATAATATTATTAATTTTTGGATATCCCCTCTCAAAAAAATACGTTACTTAGTACCCGTATGGCGTAGGTATATATACATATTGTATATGTGTACATGTTGTTTGTAATACATTGTAAATTGCAATTAACAATGCAAAGTCATTGAATTCGGTCGTTTTGCGGGAGTCGGCTGTTGGCCGAGGTCGTCTGTCGCCTGACTGCGTTTACAAAATAAAATAAGAAAACCTCGGAGGACGTTAAGTAAAATATTAAAATTAACACAAAATGAGCACCACGGCGGCGGCAGGTGTGTGATACACTGTACAGTGTACGGCCTACAGCCGCACTACAATAGTTGAGTGTAACGCAATTATTATTGTTGAACCGTTGGACGTACCGAGTTGTAGTGAGTACTGTGAGTAGCGAGTACCGACGTATTACCCATACGGAGGTAGGTGTATCGAGACACCGAGACGTTCGGATGGTAGTATCATCGATGGTATCCGTCCGGTTTGGTAGGAGGCTGTCTTTGGAGCGGTGGGGTAGCGCTCTCTACCGACAAACCGGACGGTTCGTTTAGAGTGGTACCACTACAGTCTACAGCCACCGCCGAGCGCCGAATTCGACCGACGACGACAACAACCACTACCATCGCAAAGGCGCCACCACCCGACCGTCTCCAAACACCGTCGCCGCCGCCCGCCACCGTTGTCCGTCCGACAGGCACCAATACGCGCGGCAGCGGCTATCCATCTGATCGCGAACGCAATATTTTTTTTATTTTTCCTCGAAAGGAAAATAATAATAATACGCGGCGGCGGTACGTATACACTCACACACTCACAATAATAATACGTTAATAATAAATATATACATATACTCGCGCACGAATAATATATTACGTTCCTTTATCTCTTCTCCACGTTTTTTTCCTTTTTTGTTATTGTTTGGTTTTTTTTTTTTTTTTACAGTCGCGTTAAAAAAATATATTATCATCTGCAGCTCTCACCGCCACCGTAATAATAGTAATAATATTAATAATAATATTGTTATTTCACATTATTTGTTTCGTTTAATATCAGATATTGATATATATACGCCGCTATCGTCTGCACAACATATTTTCTAACGTTTCTCGTCCGCGGTCCATTCATCGCCGCAGGTATCATCATCACTGTCGTCCTCGCCGCCGCCGCGTTCTACTGTCTAGCGCGCCAATGATTGCAGCCACCAGGACAATACAACTATAATAATACATTGTTCACCTGTGTTCACTGTTAAAAATTTCTTCCGTACTAGTTACATCTTTTCGGACAACGTGTACTATCGTTTAAGCTGAGCTTTCGCGAACTGGACATGATCCGCGTTCGCCCGCTATCCCGGTCAATGTTCGGGCAATAGATCGTCGTGATCGCTCGACCAAGTGTCGATGCGCGGCTTACAATGGCTTGCCTGAATGTGTTGAAACAGGAGATCAAAGTGATCGAGTCTACGTTCCCCAAGAACCATGACAGGTTCCAGGTGCATACAGCCACCGTTGATGAAGTAATATGCAAGTTTGTTGGCCCCACCGGGCGACAGTTTGAGATCATTGGTAACATCACGGTAAGCACTTCTCAACAGACTAAACTCTATGCATGTTCATAGAATAGATGTCTATTGTGTTGTATCCATTCCTTTCTTTTATACACTAATTGTCTATAGGAGACATATCCTGGCACTCCACCCGTCTGGTTTGCTGATACCGACGATTGTAAAGTGACTAATGCTATTGAAAAGTTAGGTCAAACTTCCGGACTCAATAATCATGTGAGTACACCTTAGTATTTGTCTATTACTTGATTGACACATTGTTTGTGGGTAGAGATAATACTAGCATTTTATGCTGTACGTTTTATTTCTTGAAGATATTAAGATATATTAATTTATTGATCTTCTCTAGATTTAATATTTACGGTTATTAGCCAAACATATGTTTTAATATAGAATTCCAAAAATAATAAATATTTGAATAGTATATTTTATAATAGGTGAACATAATTATTTTGTGTATTTTAAATACGTAATGCCTATTTATTTTTAAAATTAAGGTCAATTATCAATAGAATACTTGTAAATCTAGTAATTAGGTACCAAATACTAATTTATATGTTACAATAAAATATAAAATATTGAAAAAGTAACACATAACAAAATTAAAACTCTTATTTTAATTCATGATATTCTAATGTAGACATATTAATATATTAAAGTGATAAATTTTGGTTAGTTGACTATGATTTTGGTTAACAATGTAGATGTAAAGTAGTTGTTGCTTCAAGTATTAATTATTTTATTTTATTTTTTTTTTTTTTAAATTTATGTAATATACTACATTTTCTGGTATTTTTTTGTTAACGTGAAAACACAAATAAAATAAGTGCCTATAAAAATTGTATGGTAATAATAAATATTAGAAACTCAAATCATCTGTAGTTCACATGACGTATGAAGAACACAGATATAAAACTGATGAACTAAGTATTGTATAGCTCTGTCAACGAACTTATATTATAATCAATATTCGATCTACCTTCTTCTAGTTATTGAAATCTCAATGAATACCCCCTACAGAAAAAGAGAAAAGCAAAATGATCTATTGTTTTCTTATTCTTAACATTATGTAATGAAAATATAGCAATATAGTATTTTGAAATAAACTGGTATTAACATTTAAAAATATATAATAAATTATTTAATGTAATGAAATTAACGTTTTATTCAAAACTAAAAACAAAAATTAATTTGTGTTAGTCTTGAGTATATTCTAGACTTTAGTTACAGAGTTCGGTAAGTTAGACTTTAAACAAAGTCTTCAAAAATAATTTTAATTAATTCTTGATAAAACCGGGGATAAAACTCACTAATATTTTATTGATTATAATAGTTATTGCTAGTGTAGCAACTAACATATTATGTTTTTAAATCATATTGTTTTGTGAACATTGGTATGTTATCTAGTAAAATCATTATTATTTTATTTTGTTATGTTTTTACTCAAATACCTTTTATTTAAAACTATTTATACATATAATATTTATAAAATATATTTGATCTCTTTTTTATGGATTTAAAACTGTATTAAAATATTAACCTAAAAATAAAAATTATTATTATGAGTTAAGGCAATTTATCATTTTTAATTAATTAATAAATTATAAATAGTAGAATAAGGATGGATCAAGCTTATATTCTGCAATATTGAATCTTATTCAAACTCTTAAAAATTTACCATAGTAAATTTAAAAGAATTAATAGTTAATTAAAATTAATTTAATGTTAAATTTTGAATATTTTAAACTTGATTATTATTAGTGTTCAAAATTTTTAAACTCTAATTCAATCTTAAATTTTAAATTATTTCTTAAATGTTTTAAAGTTTGAAGATTCAAAGAACTGGAGATCACATCCCTTATAATTATTTAATGTAAAATATACATATTACTACTTAACATTATATAGGTGACTTATAAAATGTATTATCATTGATTCTATAACCAATGGTATTATTTATATATGTTTTTATGTATATTTGAGAATTTTCAATAATAAATTGCAATTTTTACATAGGTTATTAACCAAGTTGGAATATTGGTTAGTGAATTGTGCCGTACATATTGTTTATCTGAACCGTCCGAGTTACAAAGACTGATACAAATGCCCTCCAGTTCTGGGGCATCAACCTCTACCTCTTGCTCTAGTAGTAAACTTACAGATGAAGAAGATGATGATGATGATGAAGAAGAAGAGGTTGAAGAATATATTCAGCTTGATATGGAAGAATCTACCCCTGAATCTACTAAAAAACAAGTCAGTATTTATATTGTGTAGTATCTATTTATTTTATGAATTTGTTCTGTTTTATTGATTTCTTTAATCTTAATTATGGAAAATTAAGGTTGATGATATGGAAATTCAACACTTGGAAACTTTGGAAAGATTACGACAAAACCAACGTCAGGATTACTTAAAGGGGGCTGTAACTGGGTCTGTTCAAGCTACTGATCGTCTTATGAAAGAGCTTAGGGATATATACAGATCTGATAGTTTCAAAAAAGGTGATAAATAGTTATATTATTTATTAAATTAAGTTTTGTTTAAAAGAAGTTTTATGCCAATTTTTTTTGTTCCACATAGACATAACTTAAGTTATGAAATTTAGAATTTTTATTTAAGTTAGTGTTTGGTATAATTGACTGTTAAAAGTTTTTACTTATAATATTTATATAAAATTAAATAAAGTATACTAAATAATAAATTTATTTTCATTAATAATGAAAATATTAAAAACTAAGAAACTATACAGCTATCATCTTTAGCACAAAAACTAAACTGTTATACATCAATTAAATTTTAAAAATAAAATTGTTAGTTTGGTAATTTATTGAATAAATCAAACAACTTTTACACGTAATGTAAGATAATCAATTATGACGAGAAGACATTTTTTTTTATTGTATGTAATATTAATATTCTTTATAGAATTATAACAATAAATTGTTATTTTTTATTTAAAAATTTAAATTTTAACAATTTATTAATAAAATAATTATGTTTAAAGTCCTGTAAAAAAAATTATAAGATACATTATATTGCAATTTTAAAACCAAAAAATTATTTTGTCAAATTAAATGGAAAATTTCAAATTTATAAATATCTAAGAAAGCGTAAATATTTTAAAATTATATCCTTTCTAGGTAATACTATTTTAAATATGTTGTGCCGATTTTAAGAGTCATGAAATTTTTTACTCTTGACGTCTTAAAGCAGTGATCTCAAACTCAAATTACCTACGGGCCATATATTTTTTCAAAAAAAATTCGCGGCCTAAATTTTAAGTGTCACTTTTATACTTATACACTAGAAACTAAAGACAAAATAAAAGCAAAAATACATACAAAATCCATTTATTTACTTTTTATTACTACAAAATTATCATTGAAAAAATATAATGATCGTTAACTTAAAAAAAAATTATAATTAAAATTTAAAAATAGCTTGAATATTTGATAATTTTTATTTTTGAGCTGCACTATTTTCATATTTTTGTTCAAAATGTATTTTTATTGCGGGTCACATAGAAGGGGTTCGCGGGCCGTATGTTTGAGACCACTGTCTTAAAGTATCATCTTTATCATATATGCTACTATAATGTGTTTTACAACAAATGTCTCTCGATAATGACACACCAGGTGGCGATTTTTACTCAAATCATGAGTCCGCAATTAAGGCTAGAAAATAGGAGCATATTTTTTTTATTTATGATCAGCGGCAGTTTTGCATTTTGTGTACCTATAATAAACAATTGCTATTTGGCATATTAGTATAGAGGGACATTTGTTCTGAAACATACTTTAGATACCAAGTTAATAATTGGAGTAAATTTACACTTCCAAAGCATGAAAAAAGACTTAAAAATACTTCTATTATCGATATTTTTTTTATACTATGCGTACCGAGAGAACGCAACTACACTGTGCATTCAAATAATATTAATTGACTGTTTCTAAGTTATATTAATTTTTACCAATCATGAGGGATATGCAAGACTACTACATATTTTTGTTAATGCACTAACTCTCAGTACATGACGTCTAAAACTTTTCAAAATTTACTAAAACTATGTATGATTCAGTTCATTTTTTATTTTATAGTGTTTTTAAAGAATTCAATAATATTTTTCAAATTTTAGTTCACTAATGTTATAGTTTAGTGATCATTAATCACCCTAGAATCCGTTCCAAGTAATAAAAATATATTTAACTACAGTAGAGCCTTGATACTCTGTATAAATTCAGACCTAGCATCGTTCGGATTACTGGATGGTTTTCTAAATTACCTACTCAAATGACTAAGATTTTTATTTTTAATTCTACTACCTTTATATTTATTAAACATAAAATTACAAAATTAATAAATAACTTAAACATAATGATTTTCAAAAAAAAAAAAATGTGTATAATAATAGAACTTAAATATAGAAGTTAGTAATTTTTTTCTGAATAATAATTTTAATTCTGAACTAACTATAAATGTATTTACGAATAAAATATAAACTTATGCCATCCGGAGTACTGCATTCATCAAATTATTGAGGTCTTGACTATCGAGGCACTATTGTAATTATAAATTATTAGACTTGATATTTTAATTATATAGATTGTTTAAATTAAATAATATAAAACATATTGTACAGTTACTTATTTATGTATAGAATGTAATATTATGTAGATTATAAATGTATGACAAATCAAACAGGAATGTTTTAATAAATTAATGTAAAAATTGAACCTTAAACCACTGGCAATGCCTAGTGTGTAATATAATCACTATTTTATATATATACCAATAGATTACAAGTATTGTTTTAAACATATGTTTAAATCTTATATGTATTAGAAAGTCAGTAAATTGTGATGGACAAAAACTATAGATTGACATATTATATTTTTTAATTATAAAATAAATATATTATGTGTAGATAACAAATAATTTTTAATATTTAGGAATGTATAGCGTGGAACTTGTTTGCGACAGCATCTATGAGTGGAATATAAAATTAATGACGGTTGATCCAGATTCTTCTTTGTACCATGATTTACAAAAGTTAAAGGAGAAAGAAGGAAAAGACTTTGTGTTATTAAATATTACATTCAAAGAGACATATCCCTTTGAGCCACCATTTGTACGTGTAGTTCATCCTATCATACAAGGTGGTTACGTCCTAGTTGGGGGTGCAATATGCATGGAATTGCTTACCAAACAAGGATGGAGCTCAGCATACACTGTTGAAGCAGTGATTATGCAAATTTCTGCTACTTTGGTTAAAGGAAAAGCAAGAATACAATTTGGTGTTCCAAAAACAATGAACCAGGTATCCCATGCAACATATCCAGTAGTATGTTGAAATCTATTTAAAACTAAAATTTAGTATTTAGTTAAGTGAAATGAATGATTTTTAGACAGCCATATTTGATAATTGTTTATTTTGTTTTAGGGTCAGTACTCTCTAGCCAGAGCACAGCAATCTTTTAAATCTCTCGTGCAAATACATGAAAAAAATGGTAAGCAATTATAAATTTTAAATTAATTTTTGTTTTAATACTGTTTAAATATATTATTTATGTTTGTTTTAATTATAAAAAATAATAATGTTTTTGTTTTTTATTTTATTTAGGTTGGTTTACCCCTCCTAAAGAAGATGGTTAAACAACACTCTTATACTATCTAAACTGTCATTCCTTTAAAAAGAACTTAAGTACGTCTGTAAAAAAAATACGTCAAACTTGTTTACAGTATAATATTTACGTTACTTTTATTATTTTGTTTAATTTCTTTGTATAATTGTAGAAAATATAAATTTTATACTTATCAAATTGGTAACCTATTTCTATCCAAGTTTAGAATGAAGTGTTCTGATTGCCAGCTGGGCTTATTGACTCGTGACATTTTACAGACACAAGTCAAACATAAATACTCATGGGTTATTATGATATATATATATTTTAATATTGATTCTTACATTTTTTTATGAGTTCAGAGTTCAATTTTTTTTGTGTATTTATTAAATTGTGATTAATTTTGATGTTACTAATTACGGATTTTTTTATGTATCAATAAATGACACACATCAAATGTGTTTAAAGGAGTTGTGTGTGTTGATATTTGCTTATTCTACTGTAGTCATATTATTAAAAAAAAATAAATATTTACTGTAAAAATATATATGTATATATATATACAAATCATAAAAATTTTGTAATATATAAACATATTTATATATATACATATATTTTTATGTTACAAAGCTCAAAAAACTTCCTAAACTGCTTGTTTAGTTAATTATGATTTATGAATAATAAACAATAAATGGCCTTTATGATTTATGTATTAATTCTTAGATTAATGAAAGAGTACATATTAAAAAAAATAAATTTTTTTTTTACATTGTAGAACTTTTAGTTAAGTATTTATTGTTTAGCCTAATTAAATTTTGTAAAATTCTATCTAAATTGAAAAAAATAGTAAGAATTTATTTGTCTACTATACTTAGGAACAATATTATAATTTGGAGATTTATTTCTTTGATATTTTTTCTTGTCTAAATTTTATACTTCAACAATATTATGAGTTGTACAGTGTGTGCATGTTAAGAAAAATTGTAAAGTATAATCTATATATATTTATTACTATTAAGAGACTGCATCACTTGGACATCAGTCCGTTTTATGAATGAGCTGTAACTATTTTCAATACATTTTGCCTTAATATAATATAATGATATTGTTTTATTAACATTTAGTTTAGCTAAATTAAATACCTACACTTCTATTTCAATTTTTAAACAGCATTTATGTGTAAGTTTTATTCAGTCTTTATACTTACCTAAGTACTCATAAGTCATAGTAACAGTAAAACTTTGCAGAACATTTTTTTTTTTTTAAATAACATATTAAGCCATCTGTTACAATCTTAAATTATAACTTTATTATTAATAAAATAATGACAAAGAAGTAACAGAATGAATATACTTCCCAAGTCCTTATAGAGGTATTTCATTGTGAATAATAGATCTTTAATTCATGAATATTAATAATAAGTAAATAAGTTATGTTAGATGCTAATAGCAATCCACATGTATTTTTAAATAAGCAGTTCATGACATTATAATCTGTTTATTCTTCTTTGAAATTTCCTTGGATTAGTTGGAATGATAAGTAAGTCAGTGAAGTGTTTATACTGAAGATTTTCTAGTTCAGATACAGTCTCCTCCAGTCAGAGGATTGAATAATATATGGTTTATATGGTTTAGATGTATGTGTCCATAAACTATAAATCATAAGGTATCGTTGGTTGTACACAATATTTTGCGACTATTGAAAGTTGATGATACCTAACAATTGCGTTGTTGAGTCTAAGTACTCATAACTTCTAGTCACAAATTTGCAAATAATTGCTTTCAGTATAATTATATTATTTTGTAAAATATTCGAAAGTGAAAAAGTGGAAGTATACAAATAAAGTAGCCACTGTAGTTTTTATGAAGTCCAATGAATCGTCTGTGGTACAACTGAAGTCCGATAACTCGAGAGATTCTGCTCAACAAGACTTCGAGGTGACAAGATGATACCAGTCATACAAAACTCGATATAAATATACAATAGATAATAAAAAATATTAAATTTTAAATCATATATTATATTTTGACTGGTATTACTCAGTTTGTATGTGATTTATAAAAATAACTATGTAGTATTAATAATTAATATTATGTCATACAAATATTTTCTATGTACTTTGAATTATATTACGTTTTATTAAGTAAAAAAATTATAATGTAATTTTTAGTTTTTTGGTGAAATATGGTTAAAATTGTTAACATATTTTTGATGAGTAAAAAATCATGAGATAATTACACTACGTGTGTTAAATTTAAGATTACGATACCTATCATTGTTTTTCTATTAATTCCGAAGTGCCTACTAATGTAACACTGTAAATCCGAATGTGATAATTTTGTAGAAACATAAGTGACTGTAATTTATCCATCAACTGGTAATAACCATTCACCATAAAAAAATGAATATTTTATTAATTAATTTAATTTTAAAATTCTAGTAGAAACAATATATGATAAATCATTCGTTTCATTTTTAAACTATAGCTATTTAAATTTAAAAGAAATATAAAATTTGTATTTAAGTCATTTAACTGTGAAAATAAATTTTATCAAGGTAAATTGAATAAAAAAAATTCTGGACTATGATATATTAATATATAATATTGTAATAACTAATATGTATAGTAAGTAGTGAAAAACTGAAACTCGAAAATTATGACCATACTGTGTTTTAGCTATGCTATTTCATTACATCATTGCTGCAAGTCTTTTGATATTTGCTTAAAATAATATTTTTAATCTGAGAATAATAAAATAAAAATTAGTATGGATGTGAAATAACACAAATTAGGAAAACAAAATACATTTTTAATTTATAAATATATAAAAATAAAATCTTACGTTTGTTCTAACTTCTATTAGAAACAATGAGATGCTAATAAATGTTATAACTTAAAAATTAACAATTGAATTCTTAATAATCTTATATTTACAAATATAACTTTTCTACAAAATAAAAATAATAGTAAATACACATCTAGGGAGGATACATTAAGTTACGGTTGATATTATGATTTTTAGTTAATAACAAAACATTACATTTTTATTAATTTGTTGAAGAATAAAATACTAATGATATAGTGATATTGACAATATACATGATATTTCTAAATTCTGATTTGTTTTTTTAAGTAAAAATTTGAACGTATGTAGGTCACAATCTTATTATTTTTTTTTTTTGAAAATATCAAAGGTATAAATATGTAATTAATTAATAACAAAAATTTTTTAAAATATATTATTGTTTAATAATGCTGTTCAGATGTAACACCTTGTTGATTTCCGATGTATTGAACAATAGTTTCACCTAAATAATAGTAAATATCACACATTATTAAGGTCAATAAACAATATTTTAGGCAATGTTATTTATTCAAAGCGTAGCATATCATAAAAATCATATTTTAATTTAATTTCTATGTAAAATTGTCAAATATTTATGATATACGCTATGTATAATGTGACAGTCAGAAAAAAAATCTTTAAAGTTTAATCTGTACACTCAACTCGGTTTTTAAGTATAAAAGTATTCTTTTTAAAAATGATAATAATTTTTAAAAAAATGAGTACTGTGTAGTTGCATGTTAATATAGTGAATGATTTTAAGAGGATGCCACTCTGGCTTTATTATCTTTACTACAAAAAAACAACTAAGTAAATATGCATTCAACAAAGTCAATTTTATGTTGTGAGTTTTAATATTAGAATAAGTTGACTTAATTATTAACTTTAAAGGTAAGTTTTTAAGAGTATTTTAATTTTCAAAAGAGTAATGATTATGCAAGATGTAAATTTTAATTTTAATTATTTGTTTAATATTCAAATATCATAAAAAGCAACACACAATAAACAGGAATAATGTTTTTATCTTTAAGTTTGATAAAAAGGAAATACACATATTATGAGTATGATGTCTTTACAAGTCTATTGTTTTAACATTACAATATTTTATTTCTAAAATCTTGAATACTGATTTGTAGACATATATTGAATTTGTTTTGTAAGAAAATTTTATACAATTTCTACAATATTTAATAGTTTAGAGATTTTTTTTCTAGAAATTATATATGTATAAATATAATAAAATATAACCAAGTTGTCGTATAAGTGCCAAAGTTTCTTGATGCCTCCGTTCTTCTGCACGCTCTTGGTTTGCCGCAATTTTTAATAGTGTCTTTTCTTTTTGGTTGGCAATCTCTCTAAGAGTCTTTGTCAACACTGTGTCCTGATTAGTATCAGGCTCTTGGGGTAATAGTTTAGGAACTATCTTTGGCTGCTTAACGACCTTTCTTAATATTTTGCCATCATAAATGTGAGTGTTAAGATCAGTTTCATAAAAGTCTGGGGATAAAATAGTTTTAGTAGAAACACAATTTACATAACACTAGTGATTAATTTACCTTCAACAAAATGTGTATCACAGTTTGAATTATCACTGTTATTTAAATTATCTTCTATTGCTATGTGATTTATAGAAATATCATTGTTTAATCTATTCTGTCTAAAATTTTTTCTTCTAAATATGGTTTTATATCTAAAACATGTTTTATTTTAAATTAATTAAACCACAATTATTCTTAGCATATATGATATAATAATAAAATATACCTATTTAGACATTGCTCAGCAGTTCTTGTGATATTTAGTATGTTGTTAATACTATCTGCAATATATTCAAACATTTTTAATTTAGTCCTGAACGTTCTTTCCAATCCAACTTTGGAAATGTTTTTTTTGTACAATTCCATTAGGAGCCTAGTATCATCAACACCCCATTCATTCATGGATTTCGTTGTGCATTGACCTAAAAATCAATGATTTTTTTTATGATTTCATTAGAATTTACAAATATGTTAACAGATTAATATTTCTTAAAAGTTAATAATTATGAGTTATTAAAAAAAAAAAAAAAATAACAAAAATATATGTATATTCTTGGGTATTACCACTAGTTCCAGAGTTTTGTCCATTATAATCATGATCTGCTGACACTGACGCTGATACATCATTTTGAGATCTTTTTTCTTCATTTAAATTCTTTTCAACATTAGATTTAGGCTTTTGTAGTATTGAACTTCCAACTTTTCGTTGATTTACTACCGTTTTATACCTAAAATTAATTTAGTTCATCTTACAAAATGCAAAACAACTTATTTAAAAAAAAAAAAATATAATTAACTAATATTTAGTATACCTATTTTCACATTGATGAGCACTTCTGGTGATGTTTAATTTAGTAGATATTGTCTGTGCTATAAACTTGAACATTTCTCTTTTACTTTTAAATTTTTTCATCGGTCCTACTTGAGTAACATTTTTCCTAAACATTTCCAGAAGAATTTTTGTTTCATATTGACTCCATTCTCGACAATTTCTTTTACCTTTATAGAAACAAATAGTTATTTTTTATATTTCCGACCTAATTTCTTAAATAAAGACATTTAAATAAAATATAAGCTTTTAGTTACTTAGAATATAAATAACATAATTATAATATAATAGTTTAGGAGTTAATAACAGTATCGTAATCTGCTCCCATTAATTAAGCCAACTAAATTTTGAATTAATAAAAAAATATAAGTCACTCGGTAGAAATAAGGTATGTCTAGAAGTGAAGATTTTGGGGGTTCAACTCTCCTCCTTACCATTACTATTTTAGGATTTAATGCGTAAGTAAAAAATAAATGTAATACTGATCATTATATTTTTTTTTTTGGGGGTACAAACTTGGTGCACTATATTAATTAATTGTCGTAATATAAGTACAGTAGAACCTCAATTAATCGGGGTAATGATGTGGAGAGTGTCACACGGATAAATGAAAATCACGGTTAATCGAGACTTTTTATAATAATGAAATTTTTTATTTATTGTAGTTAGAAATACATAGGTACAATTTTATAATAATGAAATTTTAAAAATTTTGATTCAATTGTAATTAGAAATATACATAAGAAGACGTATACATACAATAATGTACATATACATCCATAATATTGTATATAACAAGTTATTAGGGCTTAAAATATGAAGTTATCGTCAAAAATGTCAATAATACGATTGTCGATATCGAGTATTATGTTTAAAAATTTTTGGAAGAGTGGGCACGGTTAATCGAGTCACGGATAATCGAGGTTCTACTGTATTTAATTTATTGAGAAGGTTAAAAATACTGTTTAAAGACCAAATTTTTTAAAAATTTAATAAATCAACCAAAATCAAAGAAAAATTCAAAATTTTTATTTCATTACGTCCAAAATATGTTTTAATAAGTATAATGATAACAATAATATTTAGCCTAATATAATATATCCACTACTTAGTCTACATCCCAAGACATAACCGCATTTCACTGTGTTAACAATTTTTTCTGACTCTCTTATTTTCCCTCATAAGACACTAAAGGATATTAGTTAACATTGTTCACATACGCTGAATGACGCCAATTGGCATAAACCTTGTTACTAATTACATTATAATTTCCTTAGGGTTAAAATTAAACTATTAGTTTTTTGTTAACGTTTCCTACACATATTATTTCATAAGTATATTATGTAAATCAGGCATTAGAATTTTTATTTCTCAATTTTTAAGAATTTTTTTTTGATACCCCAATTTGTTTAACACATTTAACTAATAAGTATCTTCAAATATGACATGCAATGAAAATGTTAATAAGGTAATAATAATTTAATAAAATTACGAGATTCTTCAAGAATATCGGTTTCTAGTTGTGGCGGCTCATCTTGAATAATACTATTGTCATATGTTTCAAATGGTTCTTCAATGACAAATATATCTTTAGAATCTGGAAATTAAAAAAAACGTACTTACTACTTTGGTTTATAAAGTAGAATATATAATTTTTTTATTTACTAATTTCAGTGTCTCGTTTAACTAGATTTCCATCGCACACGTAGTACGTTTCCATATTGGAAATTCATAAACCTGAAAATTGAACGAATATTAACATCACCCAGCAATAGACGTTTAGATAAACAAACTATAAAGATTTCAACAAAATTTAAAATTTTCTTTAGCGTTATCAATCAAATGAACACTGAACGCAGTTTTATCACAGAATAAATTTTGTTATGTTATCCTCATCGAACATAACGTATGTTATCGCGTACTATACTACTATCGCTAAATTTCAGTGATTATGTATAACTCGCCTTAACACCAACTCCTAGAAAAGTGTTAACTTTTAAGGTTATATTTGAAAAACGTTGCGTTTTCTTATCAGCGGTTTCGATATCCTTGTAAAAATTATTTCCATTAATCTCGTTTTCTTAAAAAATTTTATTATTCAGTGTTTTTTTTTTTTTTTTTTGTTTAATTTTTCTTTTATCTTTTTTGTTTTTCCGTCCTAAAGTCCTATTCTAAATTTCTTACACTAAACTTAGTTTATAACGTTTCATCTATCATGAGTAAATTGCTGTTCATTCGAAATATTCGTGGCCTAGACGAGCCTTCCCTTAGACAGATTATTAACAGTAAGAATTTGCCTTGTGGTACCATAATGTTTAAGTCTGGTGGAGCATGTGCAACGGTTGACTTTATGGAACCATCCACTGCCGAATATGCTCTTACGCAGCTCAACGGTAAGTACATAGAATGAGTAAAAACAAGTTTGATATGATTTTTTTTTAAATAATTACAGGTATGCCGCTTCAAGATCAAACCCTTGCTGTGGAACCTTACAATGGCTTGCATAGTCAAATGGTGAAAAAAGCAAGGTAAGTCATGGTTTTATTAAATATATTAGGCGTGGTCATCATGAATGATAAATACCTATTTTTATAACTACAGTGATAATGATATTAGTATAATTATACCAAGTACCCTTTTATTTAACAATATTATATAATTATTTAAATCGTATTAGGTAACTATTTTTGATTTATTCTAAGACTATTTTTAGAATTTAATTATCTATGTACTATATAACTATTATTTAACCATCTTCTTAATTAAAGGGTATACACAGTGTACTAGTAAAATGTATGTACTCTAGAACCAAATAACTTTACTAAATTTTAAGAATTATACTATAAATGTTTTTTTTTTTTGTTAATGCATTTTAAACTGATTTTATATAAAATATTGTTACTTAAAGACAATCCTTATCTAAGCATTATAAATTGTATACTAGAAATCAACACTATCAATTCATCTAATATCTATATTTTATATTGATTGGAGTATTTAATAAATTTTATACATATTATACAATAAATTTAAAATAGTTTGGTCGGAATTCTGAAATAATCTTAGTAATATGATAACTCATCTAATAATAATCAGAAATTTTTTTTTATATTATTTTGTTTAAGCTTAAATTAATGTTATATAATTTATAAAATACTAATAAATCTTAAATATTAGTATTAATAAGTAATTAGATGAAACTTCAGGTACTTAAGAACGAACATTATTGTGCATAATGCTTATTATTTTTTAAAGGTTGTATTAACTAATACCTAGTATAATTAAAAATTAAATAATTAAAATTTATATTAAAACTGTAAATTTAGTATGATTTTAAATCAAACTTGAGACTTAATTGTTTTTTTTGAACAATACAAATAGTGAATTAATATGTTTTAATGTTTATATAATAGTAAATAGTTTGCATCAATTTGCAAATTTATTTTTATGTCGATAATAAGTTGTTCAATTTTCAAATACCACATACTTTGTGTAAAATTTAAATTTCAAATTCAAATGATAAAGTTAGTTAATGTCTATTTAAGCATTCTGGTGAATTTAAGTATTCAACTTAAATTTTAGTTATTAAATCAATTACAATTTTTATCTAATTGATATTTAAATTTAGATTTTTGATTATGTACTACTAAATTAGCTCCTATAGAGCCAGTGAATTACTGACAAAATTAAAATGAGCCATATAGACTTTGAGTTAATGAAAAACATCTAAGTAGTTAACATTAAATTTTATTTATACTTATTTACCTAATTTTAAAGTTCAATTATCAAAGATAATTAATAAGATCAAATTTATGTATAAGTAAAATCTAAATACATTCTAAATGGTCAGTAAGCTACATGTTCTACCTTTTTCTGATCAATAAATGTGCTTTCCTTCTAAAAAATATTTATAAAAATCACATACTTTAACCCAAAAACTAACTTACACCTTACACATTTCTCAACACAAATTATAAATACATTTTTATTAAATTGATTTGTAAAAATTATATTAGTATGTAGGTATACAGTAATTTTTATAAAAAAATTGCTTTTATAGATGTAACTAATCACCATTGCATTTCTTCTTTTTTTTATTGAAATCAATTAAATTCATATTATTTGATTTTTAAGGGGTTTTAATTAGGCAATTTTAATATCAAAATTTTAATTTAATTACTAAAATAGATTATGTACATAAATAATTTATATTTATTTTAATTTTTTATTTCTATAATTAATATAAAAAATGATTTCACATGGTTGTATTTTGTAGATTAAAGTCTTTGTATAGGAAATTAAAACTTTAGTGTACAAGAATAAGATTAAAGAAAGAATAAGTTGGGAATTCATTTTGCTGTATAATGGCCAATGAGTGTCCAGTATGCCTTATAACGGAATATAGTTCAATATAATAGATGCATTAAATTTGAGTTAAATAAATAAATTTATTGTACCTATACAATAAATGATTCATCAGCTTGTATTTCTTCTAAAGATATTTTATTTTTTTATTAATTATACTGTAGATTACACTAATTTTTCAAAAATATAATCGTTTAATAATAATGATATGCAAAATGAGAAAATAATTTAGTTCCTAAGCATAATATTTTTTGGAATAGAATAAAATAATTAAACTCATTATTTTTTATTTAGTTTATCCGATTTTGCCAACATTCGTACTTAAAAAATCTATATTAAAAAAAAAAAAATATATTCATATTTTTAAAATATTTGAATCGCTACTAGTTATTAAGAATATTGTATTAATTGTTCAAGATTTTCACCAAGACTAAACATTTTTATTAACATTCGTTATAAAAATAAATAATTTTAAATGTTTATAAATAGCTTAAAATTATTCTTAATCTTTAGAAAATTTCATTGTATTATATAGAAAATAATAGCTTAGGTTTAATGTTTCAAATTTTTACGTTTAATATTTTTTTAACTACAAATAGTTAACCTAGGTCATTGTCTAAATTTTTAAATATATTTAAATACTTCAAAAAGTACCGAAATATTTTGAAAATGTTAATATAAGTATTTTGAAAAAATTAGTTACAACGATTATTTGTTTTTGAATCATCGTGAAATTGGTTAGGTAAGGACTTAACCTATCGTTTTTCCGATTTTTAAGAAAAGTATGAGGAATTTTTTACTTTTAATCTCCCAAAATACATTAAAATTAAATTTTTTACAAGAAATTTCTTTTTATGTCGATAAAAACATTTTTAATTACTAATTAAAAAAAATTATGAAGGATATAACGTAATACCAATACTAATATAATTTAAGCTCTACAGAATCAGAAATCGAGAATTTCGATTTGAGGTTAAGTAGTTATAATATTATATAATGAAGTATAAGTTTAATTTTTCTACTAAAATTATTGCGTTAAAATTTAAACTTCAAATGGACACATTCTATTGTTTTTATCTACGTTTTTCGATATTTTTAAATTGCTATAAAAACAACGCTTAGGAAGTCATGTTTATTAAAATATCAGGATTTTTAAGTTTTTGACTAAAACACAGAAATGTTATCAACATAACTCGAAAAATACTGAAAAACATCAGACAATTTTAAACAAATGTATTTAAAAAGCTAAAAAAGAACGAAAATATTTTGAATATTATTTTAGATCTAGAAAATTTTTAGTGAACATATTATGGTTATTTCTTTTTGAATTAGGTACTCAATTAAATAAAAATATAAAATCGATTTTGCCGAAAATCTTGCATTGCGTATATTTTTTCGTCTTATCATAGTTTTTTGTTAGTCTTTTTCAATTATTTAGTAAAATATGGAATATTTCCACTTTTGACCCTCTATAGTAACAACTAGATCGAATTTTTTGAATAAAATATTTTTAATTTTGAAAATTAAAATATTGTTTCTGCTTTATTAAACTATATAGTGCCACTAGATGAAAATAATTTCGTACATTCTAAATACAATTTACATGTTTTGATCCGCTTAGAATATAAATTTGTTTATGTTTTAATTAATAAATCTATTTTCCTATATAACACAAATAAAAGCTAATTGCTTTAAGAATTAATTATTTTATATGCGTATATTACCTGTAAATATAAATAATATTTTTTTTCTTATACATTTTAAAAGTGTCATGCGTCGAACAAATTTAGGTTGTATCTCGTTTTGCGGACGTTTCATTTCATCACCATACTATTTCACAGCCTGGTATTAATTATTTCTCGGATTATTTTTGTCTATAATTCTTGTATTATTTTACATGATTATTATAATTATTATTCAGTTATCGATTAACGACTTGTATATAACGTCTAAGTATAATATAATGACATGGCGTACTTAACCTATAATTTATTATCAGGGTGGCCAAACTTTTTTTGGTCGCAATCTACTAAAAATATACTTCATCTTTAAGGATCTACTCCTATCAAAAAAGTTTTTTTTTTTATTGAGTAACCCATCTATAATTATTAAGAAACATACTTGCGTATATTAACTATTAATGTACATAAAGTTGTATCAACTAGTCAACAAAAATCTATTTCCCATTCTTTATGAAAATGATACAAATTTTGTTTTTTGTATGCACTCATCCTGATGAATTTTAAACAAATTAAATACGTTTTTATAAATACAACAGAAACCGAATTAACTCAGTGAAATTCAGTACTGAAGTAGAAATGACTGTGAATAATAAACATGCAATACATGAAATCAGAATAAAAATAAAATTTATCGATAATGTTGTTAACTATCTCCACTATTAATTTTCGTGCTCGTGGCCTAAAAATAAATTCTTACATGATCGACTTTGAAATCATTTGCGACCGTTTGGCCACTCCTAATCTATATATTATCTATATTTTAAAATAAATG